AGTCTGTTCCCACAGCCCAGCTAGCTCCAAGTATGATGGCACTGAGGTCAGTCATAGTTAAAGTTTGCTGGGAGTGCTTACTTCCCTTCTCTCCCCTGACTCTGCCCTCTGCTACTTAACTCCCCTTAACTCCCCTTAACACTGTGGACTTGTCTGGCAGGTCTGATGGCACAGAGTGATGAAAGAGGAGGGTGGGAGTCATCTATTCCAGTCATCCGCTTCCCTATAAATAATGTCTCCACCTCTGCCTAGTGTCACCAGCAAACTTATACAACCTTCATTATCCTTCCCTCCCTGTCTGTACCCAGCACCAACTCCCTCAAACCCTTTATCTTACTATTTATCCATCATCTTCACTCATTTGTTTTCCAAATGCTGCTTTTGTCACAGACAAAAGTGGCCCTGGGGGCCTTGCTGCCTGAGGCTACTCCCTAAGTTTTTCTTTGAGGAGATGTTTAAGGCATTACCCAAGGCCAGAGATAGGGAGCAAGGAGGAGCACTAAACCTAATACTTTCATGCTGTTTTACCTCTGTGACATTTTACCTTTTCTCTCTGTCCTCAAGTTTGAATCTCAGGATCTGAATTTATTTATTTATTTATTTATTTATTGGGTTTGGTCCTGGGGCCTGAACTCTGGGCCTGGGCGCTGTCCCTCAGATCTTCAGCTCAAGGCTAGCACTCTACCACACAGAACCACTTCCGGCTTTTTTTTTCTGCTTATGTGGTGCTGAGGAATTGAACCCAGGGCCTCATGCATGCAAGGCAAGTGCTCTACAACTGAGCCATCTTCCCAGCCCTTATTTATTTTTTTTAAAATCAGCTGTGGGGCTTGCACTCTGGGCCTGGGTGCTGTCCCTGAGCTCTTCAGCTCAAGGCAAGTGCTGAACCACGTAAGCCACAGCGCTACTTCCTGTTTCTTGGTGGTTAAGGACTTTCCTACCCAGGCTAGCTTTGAACTACCATTGATCCTCAGATCTCATCCTCCTGAGTAGCTAGGATTACAGGTGTGACCCACCAGTACCTACCTTGAATTTATTTTTATTTAATTAATTAATTTATTAGACAGGGGCTGGGAAGGTGGCTCAGTGGTAGAGCACTTGCCTTGCATGCCTGAAGCCCTGGGTTCAATTCCTCGGCACCACATAAGCAAAAAGAAAAAAGCCGGAAGTGGCGCTGTGGCTCATGTGGTAGAGCGCTAGCCTTGAGCTGAGGAGCCCAGGCCCAAAGTTCAGGCTCCAGGACCGGACCCAAAAACAAAAATATTTATTAGACAGTCCTGAGGCTTGAACTCATCAGGGCCTGAACACTTTCCCTGAGCTTTTGCTCAAGGCTAGCACTCTACCACTTGAGCCACAGTGCAACTTCTGCTGCCTTTTTCTATTCATGTGGTACTGAGGAATTGAACCCAGGGCTTCATGAATGCTAGACATGCACTCCACTACTAAGCCACCTTCCCACGCCTCAGGATCTGAATTTTGAGAAGTAATAAATTCGGTACTGAATTCTCCCATCTTTCTGTTTTTCCACTTGATTGATTGCAAGAAGATTACAGGCAAGAACTTGCTTTAGTTTATCTCTGTATTTGTCTTCTCACCATTCAGCCATGTCACTGTGTTTTGGGAATGTTTGCACAGTGCATGTGGTATGAAGGAAGGTGAAGTAACACTAATCCTGTGTGTCTGCTGACTTAGTGGAAAATGATTCCCCAAGCCCAAATACCACACGGGGCTATGTTTTGGGCTGAATGTATTTCTATCAGACTCAATGATCTTGCTAAGGTGGAAAGGACAAATCTATAGTCTATGGGTTTAACTGTTTCTCTCTCTCTCTCTCTTTTTGTTTGCTTTTTGGGTATTTTTGGAGGGGGGGGGTCCAGTCGCGGGCCTGCACTCTGGGCCTGGGCGCTGTCCCTCAGCTCTTCACCTCAAGGTTAGCGCTCTACCACTTGAGCCACAGCGCCACTTCTGGCTTTTTTTGTCTGCATATGTGGTGCTGAGGAATTGAACCAAGGGCCTCATGCATCCCAGGCAAGCACTCTACCACTAGGCCACATTCCTGTCCCTCTCATCATTTTTTGCTTATTTGTTTTGGCAAAACCAGACATACCATTAAAAGGATCCATGAGCCGGGCGCTGGTGGCTCACGCCTGTAATCCTAGCTACTCAGGAGGCTGAGATCTGAGGATCGAGGTTCAAAGCCAGCCCGGGTAGGAGAGACCGTGAGACTCCTATCTCCAATAAACCACCAGAAAACCGGAAGTGGTGCTGTAGCTCAAGTGGTAGAGCGCTCTTCTTGAGCTGAAGAGCTGAGGGACAGCGCCCAGGCCCAGAGTTCAAGCCCCACGACCGACAAAAAAAAAAAAAAAAGGATCCATGAAAGGATCCGTCCAGGGGATTCCAGGGGACCATGTGGAGGCAGGCAGGCAGGCACAGGAGAAAGATTATTAGAAGGTTTATTAGAGGAGCCATATTTCCCCAGGACAGAGAGCACATGGTAGCCTTCACTATCTAGCTAGCAGCAGGGTCTGGGGGTAGGAAGTGAGGTAGATGGGAGTTCAGGTGGGTCTAGGCGGAGAGAGGGAGGGGCCAGCTGTATGACGGGAACTCCAGGGCAGGGAGGAGCTCAGGTCTGGGTGGAGCTGAGGACCAAAGGTGGGCCTAACGCTTACTACCATCAATGATGAGACTTCATTATTTTCTGTACTTGCTAAGAAAGAAAAACATCTCCCAATTGTAATTATGAAATATATCTCAAATTTCAGAGTGCTGGGTTTGGCCTTGCTGGGAAAATGGAGAACAGAAAGGGAATAGGCCGGATTCAATCATCAACAAGCAGGGACTGTTTATTGAGGAACAACAAGGGCACAGCCCTTCTAGTGGGCTTAGAGGTTGTGCAAGGGACTGGATTTTGGGGTGGGTTTATATAGATCTTAACAAGGAAGCACAGAATAAAAAATGGCCAATGGTCTCTGGGAAACCAAGGGCAATGTCCTTGGCCAGGCCCCAGTGGAATGCTGCGTGTGGGGGCTGTTGTCTCCTGGGGACCAAGGTCAGATTAAGCAGGAGAGCACACACCTGGTGCTTTGCTTGGCCCTGGGGAACAATGCAGGATTCAATCCTTCAGGTACCACACACACTACATAATCCACACACATCATCTTTTTTTTTTTTTTCTTTTTTATAAATTGTAGGGCTTGAACTGGAAGCCTGGGCACTGTCTCTGAGCCTCTTCACACTCAAGGCTAGCATTCTAACACTTGAGCCTCAGGGCCACTTCCAGTTTTTGAGTGGTTAATTGGAGAAGCATTTCATGGGAACTTTTCTGCTGGGTCTGGGCTTCAAACTGCAATCCTCAGATCTCGGCCTCCTGAGCAACTAGGATTACAGATGTGAGCCACCAGTGCCCAGCTACACATACATCAACTTTGTTACTTTCCCTCTGTATTAGGATCCTGGAGGAGCTAGGCACATTTCCTCTAAAACTCTCCAGATCACAAAAGGATTGACACGTGAGGGTGTCATTTTCCTATTTGTTTTAAACTTTCGCATGTATCCACAAAATATTGTTCTCCTTACTTTGAAACGTATACCAATGCAACAATAGCTCACATTTACTGAGTGCTAGATAAGTGATTTATTTACATTTTTTCAGACATCTTAATCCCATCCAAGGGACTGATTACCCTGGCAAGGACAGCTTTATAGGTGAAAAAAGTAACACTTTTTCTTTTGACAGTCTTATTTTTTTATTTTTTACAGAAGCAAAGCAAGCTAGGTGGAACAATCAGGACTTAGGACACTAGTTTCCTGGAGCAAGACTTTCCTGGAGGTAAAGAACAAGATATATCTGTAATTCTATGAATGACCTATTTTTTTTTTTTTCGGTCGTGGGGCTTGAACTCTGGGCCTGGGCGCTGTCCCTCAGCTCTTCAGCTCAAGAAGAGCGCTCTACCACTTGAGCTACAGCGCCACTTCCGGTTTTCTGGTGGTTTATTGGAGATAGGAGTCTCACGGTCTCTCCTGCCCGGGCTGGCTTTGAACCGCGATCCTCAGATCTCAGCCTCCTGAGTAGCTAGGATTACAGGCGTGAGCCACCAGCACCCGGCTTGAATGACCTATTTTACCTCTAGGGTTTTTGAACTCCTTTAGGGGCTTGAACTCTGGGCCTGGGCACTGTAACAGTGCTCTTCAGCTCAAGGCTAGAGTTCTACCACCTGAGCCACAGCGCCACTTCCGGTTTTCTGGTGGTTTACAGGTGATGAGAGTCTCTCGGACTTTCCTGTTCGGGCTGGCTTTGAACCGCCACCCTCAGATCTCAGCTTCCTGAGTAGATAGGATTACAGGCATGTGCCCCGCCAGAGGTTGGTTTTATAGGCAGAAAGAGGCTAAAAAAAGTAAAGCCACAAGTGGTAGAGTGCTAGCTTTGAGCAAAAGAAGCTCAGGGAGAGTGCCCGGGCCCTGAGTTCAAGCTCCAGGACTGGCAAAAGGAAAAGTAGCCGGGCGCCGGTGGCTCACGCCTGTAATCCTAGCTACTCAGGAGGCTGAGATCTGAGGATCATGGTTCAAAGCCACCCCAGGGCAGGGAAGTCCCTGAGACTCATCTCCAATAAAGCACCAGAAAACTGGAAGTGGCGCTGTGGCTCAGGTGGTAGAGCGCTAGCCCTGAGCCGAAGAGCGCAGTGACAGCGCTCAGGCCCAGAATGCAAGACCCAGGACCCACAAAAAAAAAAAAAAAGTAGAGTCAGAATGGGGACAGAGGTAGAAGGAGGAAAGAATAAGGAGGGGAGGGAAGACGAGTGGGCTGTGGAGAAGGCCGAAAATCTGGACTAGGCGAGATGCTGGGTGTGCCCAGGTGTGCACTAAGGCTCCCGCCGCCAGAGGGGCTACGGTGTACAAATCAGGGGGTTCGAAGAAAGTCCTGGCGGTGGGCGTGGCCAGTGTGGGCGTGGCCATGGCGAGCGGGCCCTAGCTCGGCGGGGCGGGCCCTCCGGTGGGCGGGGCCTGTGGCCGAGACTGCGGGCGGCGGCGGAAGATGGCTGCGGCTGAGGCTACCGACACCCAGCTGATGCTCGGAGTCGGGCTGATCGGTGAGGACGCAGGCGCCCTGCCCGGCAGGCCCGCACCCTAATTCCGCCCCGTCCCCCGCGCCGCCCGCGAAGGGAGGGTGCGGCACCCTCGTGTTGGGCCTGGGCTGAGGCCTGCCCAGCCGGGGCCGGCCTCCTGGTCTCCCTGGCCGGAGGCTGGAGCCGGGCCTGCGGCAGCGGCGCCGTCCACACGCGGCACGGGGCTCCTCGGGCTGGTCCGGGGCTGCTCCGCGGAGCCGGAGGCCCGGGGTACCCGCGGCTCGGAGGCTGAGTGGCGCGGGGGCCGGGACAGCCCCGGTGGGGCGGGACTGTCCGGGCCCGCGGCCTCCGTGGAGCATGGGGACCCCGCGTGACCGCCGGCCCGCCCGCTCCATTGTGCAAGCCGGGTGGGGACCTGGTGGCCGACGCCGCCGGCCGGGTCCTGCTCACGGGAAGCGGGGGTCACGGCAGGCGGAGGCACGGCTGTCATTTATGCCGGACTCGCGCCCGCAGTGGCAGGGCCCGCGCTGCGGCCTCGCAGGGTAACCCCCGAACCCCACTCCAGCACCGTGCGGTCCGGCTCGCTCGTGCTTGCAGCTGCAGTTCCTGCCCAGTCACATGTGGGATCCCCGTCAGTTTTGAGGAATTCGGGGGTGAGGAAGTTCCTTGGGCAGCCCCAAATGTGTGTACGGTTCCAGATAGTGGATAGTTCCAGAAACCATTTGGCCGAAGGTGACAAGGAGTACGGAGTTGCTCAAATGAATAAATGACTGTCAGTTCCCTTTAAAAAAAAGTCTTAATTCTCCTGATACTTTTAACGCATCCCTAAACACTCTGTCCTCTAGTGTACAAGTGTGGCACAAGCTTGGCTTAGGCTTAGCTAAACTGGAGAAGTGTGCTTAATTTTCAGTGTCTCTAAAGAGTGAATCTGGGAATTATTTCTTTGTGTTCATTTGTAAGGTGATTTTTAAAACTGCTTCAAAACAAAGCCTATCTTAGTCTTGTTAAATGACACTCCTGATTTAAGCTGTAGTTAGATTCTGACTTTAGTAACAGCGAACAAAAAGATGACATTATTGATATTATAAGTAGTAATAATAATACAAAGGAGTTAAAATTCCTTAAATCAGGTTATAAGTACAAAGTTTCTTGGTCAGTGTTATCCTTTCCTTCATCCTTCCCCATTTTTCTTCTCCTGTCCTTACCCTCAAGTGGAAAACTGACTCTTGATCATATATTTTGTGTGTGTATGCTGGTCCTGGGACTTAAACTCAGCACCTGGGTGCTGTCTCTGAGTTTTTTTGTTTGTTTTTGTTTTGGCCAGTCTTGGGGCTTGGCACTCTTCAGCTCAAGGCGAGCACTCTACCGCTTGAGCCACAGCGCCACTTCCGGTTTTCTAGTGGTTTATTGGAGATAAGAGTCTCACAGATTTTCCTGCCCTGGCTGGCTTTCAACCGTGATCCTCAGATCTCAGCCTCCTGAGTAGCTAGAATTACAGGCATGAGCCACTGGCGCCCTGCTTGTCTCTGAGGTTTTTTTTGTTTTTGTTTTTGTTTTTTTTGGGTCCGGTTGTGGGGCCTGAACTCTGGGCCTGGGCGCTGTCCCTCAGCTCTTCAGCTCAAGGCTAGTGCTCTACCACTTGAGCCACAGCTCAAGTGTGTGTGTGTGTGTGTGTGTGTGTGTTTATTTATTGGGTCGGGTCATGGTGTGTGTGTGTGTGTGTGTGTGTGTGTGTGTGTGTTTATTTATTGGGTCGGGTCATGGTGTGTGTTTTATTTATTGGGTCGGGTCATGGTGTGTGTGTGTGTGTGTTTATTTATTGGGTCGGGTCGTGTGTGTGTGTGTGTGTGTGTGTGTGTGTGTGTGTGTGTGTGTGTGTGTGTGTGTGTGTTTATTTATTTATTTTTTGGGTCGGGTCATGGGGCCTGAACTCAGGGCCTGGGCGCTGTCCCTCAGCTCTTCAGCTCAAGGCTAGCACTCTACCACTTGAGCCACAGCGCCACTTCCAGCTTTTTTCTTTTTGCTTATGTGGTGCTGAGGAATTGAACCCAGGGCCTCATGCATGCAAGGCAAGCACTCTACCACTGAGCCACCTTCCCAGCCCAAAGTTTTTTTTTTTTTTTTTAAGTCACAGCATTTTTATTTATTTATTTTTTATTTTTTGGATCCGGTCGCGGGGCCTGAACTCTGGGTCTGGGCGCTGTCCCTCAGCTCTTCAGTTCAAGGCTAGTGCTCTACCACTTGAGCCACAGCACCACTTCCGGCTTTTTTCTTTTTGCTTATGTGGTGCTGAAGAATCGAACCCAGGGCCTCAGGCATGCAAGGCAAGCGCTCTACCACTGAGCCACCTTTCCAGCCCCTGTGTGTGTATGTGTTTGTATGTGTGTGTGTGTGTGTGTGTGTGTGTGTGTGTGTGTGTTTAATTGGAGATTAGTGTCTCTCCTGCTTGCCTGCCTGAGCTGGCTTGGAACCTCTATTCTCAAATCCTGAGTAGCTAGGATGATAAGCGTGAGTCATGAGTGAGTGTCCAGCAAATCAACTTCCCTTCCCTTTCCTTCCCTTCCTTTCTCTTCCCTTCCCTTCCCTTCACTTCTCCCTCCCTCTCATCCATCTATCAATATATATATATATAAATATTGATGTATATATATATACAAATATACATACATTTATATAATACACATATACATACACATATCTGTACATATACATACATATATAGAGAGATGTATAAAGATAAAGGCACACCTAAGACTGAGTAACATCTATAAATATTTAAAAAGTTTTTAGGGACTGCCTGGGTAGCTCTGTGGTAGAGTGTTTGCCTGGCTTGCAGGATGCCCTGGGTTCAAGTCCCCAAAGAGTCAGCTAAGAATTTCAATACAAGGGCTGGAAAGGTGGCTCAGTGGTAGAGCGCCCAGAGTTCAGGTCCCATGACCGGACCCCCCCCCCAAAAAAAAGAATTTCAATACAGTATTTGCACAATTGGTATGTGACATGATTTGAAAGAGATTTTCATATCCATTTATTTTATGTTCCCCCAATGCTAGGGATGGAAACCAGGGATTCCTTTATACTTGGCATTCTGTTACTTGAGCTACATCACTCAGCCTTCTTCTTTTTTTTTTTTTTTTTTAACAAACCTTTTCTTTTTTGCTGGTCATGAGTCCTGAACTTCGGGCCTGGGCCCTGTCCCTCAGCTCTTCAGCTCAAGCCTAGCAATCTATCACTTGAGCCACAGTACCACTTCCAGCTTTTTGCTTATGTGTTGCTGAGGAATGGAACCCAGGGCCTCAAGCATACAAGGCAAGCACTCTACCACTGAGCCACCTTCCCAGCCCCTACATTGTTTTATCTATGAGAAAAATGTTATATGGAAAAAATTTGTGGGGGGGCTGGGAAGATGGCTCAGTGGTAGAGCGCATGCCTTGCATGTCAGAGGTCCTGGGTTCGATTCCTCAGCACCACATAAGCAAAAAGAAAAAAGCGGGAAGTGGCACTGTGGCTCAAGTGGTAGAGCGCTAGCCTTGAGCTGAAGAGCTGAAGGACAGTGCCCAGGCCCAGAGTTCAGGCCCCATGACTGGACCCAAAAAAAAAAAAAAGTTTGTGGGCTGGGAAGGTGGCTTAGTGGTAGAGTGCTTGCTTTGCATGCATGAGGCCCTGGGTTCAATTCCTCAGCACCACATAAGCAGAAAAAGCTGGAAGTGGTGCTGTGGCTCAAGTGGTAGAGCACTAGCCTTGAACTGAAGAGCTGAGGTCAGTGCTCAGGCCCAGAGTTCAGGCCCCACAACTGGCAAAAAAAAAAAAAAAAATGTAGTTACAGATTAATAAACATTTATGTGACAGAGAGGGAGGAATTCTATCATATCTAAGGTTAGAGTATATATTCTCTTATTTTATTAATTAATTATTTTATTTATTTTTGGTCGGTTGTGGGGCCTGAACTCTTGCCCTGGCACTGACCCTCAGCTCTTCAGCTCAAGGCTAGCGCTCTACCACCTGAACCACAGGGCCACTTCAGGCTTTTTCTGCTTATGTGGTGTTGAGGAATTGAACCCAGGGCCTCATGCATGCAAATCAGGCACTCTACCCCCGAGCCACCTTCCCAGTCCCTATTCTCTCATTTTTTTTGTGGGTACTAGGATTGTGAACTTAGTCTTACAGTTTCAGCTTGCTTGGTCATGACTGGTATTCTGCCACTTGAGCCATATCTCCAGTGCATCTTTTTGCTGGTTTACTGGAAATGGAATCTGGAAGTCTTTTCTTCTTGGGCTGGCTTCAAACTGTGATCTTCCAGGTCTTTGACTTCTAGTATCTGGTAATCCAGTGTGAGCCACTAGTGCCTAGCTACGACTAGACTTTCTTCTTCTTTTTTTTTTTTTTTTGTCAATCATGAGGCCTGAACTCTGGGACTGGGCACTGTCCCTCAGCTCTTCAGCACAAAGCAAGCGCTTTGCCATTGAGCCACAGCACCACTTCCAGTTTTTTCTGCTTATGTGGTGCTGAGGAATCGAACCCAGGGCCTCATGCATGCAAGGCAAACACTCACCACTGAGCCACCTTACCATCCTCTAGATTTTCATTTGTGGTTTGTTGTAAAAGCTTTTTACTGAAGTGGACAAAAATTCAAAGTGATGACTTCATAGGATTTAGAGTCTCAGCTGCCCTAGGTTACTTTATAAAATAAGTTATTAAAACTGATTCCACTAAGTGCTTCTCAGTAACCAATCAATTTACTTCCTTGCTGCTGTTTGACATTCTCACAGTGACCATCTTTCCACCATAGAAAAGGACACAAATGGAGAAGTTCTGTGGGTATGGTGCTATCCTTCCACGACAGCTGGGTTAAGGAATCTGCTGCTCAGAAAATGCTGCCTTACCGATGAAAGCAAACTTCTTCATCCCTTTGTCTTTGGTCAGTACAGAAGAACATGGTTTTATATCACAACAACTGAAGTTCCAGATTTTTCTGTCTTACAAAAGGTATTTAAAATGAGATACGATTATTCCCATAACCCTTAGCTGCAAATCTTATGAAGTGTTAGTGTCTGTGAGAATGTTCTTTTTTTTGCACTCATTCCTTCTATTAATGTGTATTGCGGTTGGTAGAGTAGTGAGTAATACAGAAAAATGTACTCCTTTTCATCAAGGTCAGAGTGTGATGAAGTAGAAATGTAAATGTAGCTTATATCATACCTGATTAAAAGTGACAAGTATTTTCATAATGACAAACTATTGTAACTGGGTGATGGACTCAAATCTGTAATCATAACTACTCAGGAGGTTGAGATCTGAGGATCAAAGTTTGAAAGCAGCCAAGGTAGACAAAAACACAAAACTTCTTTCTAATTAGCCAGCAAAAAGCCAGGAGTAGATCTATGGCTCAACTGGTAGTGAATCAGCCTTGAGCAAAAAAGCTGATCAAGAGCTGAAAGCCCTGAGTTCAAGCCCTAGTATTGGCCCAAGACAAAGAAAGCAAAAACTTTTGTAGAAGATATAATAACAATTATTATTTATTTTTATTTTTTTGTCGGTCTTGGGACTTGAACTCTGGGCCTGGACACTGTCCCTGAGCTCTTCAGCCTGAGGCTAGTACTCTACCACTTTGAGCCATAGCACCACTTCCATTTTCTGGTGGTTAATTGGAAATAAGTCTCACCGACTTTCCTGCCCAGGCTGGCTTTGAACTGAGATCCTCAGATCTCAGCCTCCTGAGTAGCTAGGATTACAGGTGTGAGCCACTGGCACCTGGCTTGATATAATTATTCTTGGTAGAGTTAAGAATTTGTGTGTGTGTGTGTGTGTGTGTGTGTGTGTGTGTGTGTGTGTGTGTGTGTGTGTGTGTGTGTGTGTGTGTGTGTGTGTGTGTGTGTGTGTGTGTGTGTGTGTGTGTACATGTGTGCACCAGTTCTGAAGCTTGAACTCAAGGCCTAGACACTGTCCCTGAGCTTTTTTGGTCAAAGCTAGAGCTCTACCATTTCAGTCAATTTCCACTTCCAGTTTTTTACATGTTAATTGGACATAAGAGTCTCCTGGACTTTTTTTTTTGCCCTGCTGGTGTTGTCTTTAAAAACATGATCCTCAGGGGCTGGGAAGATGGCTCAGTGGTAGAGCGCTTGCCTTGCAATGCATGAGGCCCTGGGTTCGATTCCTCAGCACCACATAAGCAAAAAGAAAAAAGCCGGAAGTGGCTCTGTGGCTCAAGTAGTAGGGTGCTAGTCTTGAGCTGAAGAGCTGAGGGACAGCTCCCAGGCCCAGAGTTCAGGCCCCATGACCGGACCCAAAAACAAAAACAAAAAAAACATGATCCTCAGATCTCAGCCTCCTGAGTAGCTAGGTTTACAAGAAAGAACCACCAGCATCCAGCTAAGAAAAAGTTTTTTTATTTACTTATGTAATGTTAAGGATAAGAATTATAGAAGTCGGCCGGGCACCGGTGGCTCACACCTGTAATCCTAGCTACTCAGGAGGCTGAGATCTGAGGGTCTTGGTTCAAAGCCAGCCAGGCAGGAAACTCCTTGAGACTCTTATCTCTAATAAACCACCAAAAAACCGGAAGTGACGCTGTAATTCAAGTGGTAGAGCGCTAGCCTTGATCTGAAGAGCTGAGGGACAACATTCAGGCCCAGAGTTCAAGCCCCATAACCAACAACAACAAAAAAGAATTATAGAAGTGTATGGGAGGCACTAGTAGCTCTTGCCTGTAATCCTAGCTACTCAGGAAGTTGAGATCTGAGGATCAAAGTTTATTCAAAAGCCAGCTGGGGAAGACAAATCCTTGAGTCTCTTATTTCTAATTAACCAGCAGAAAGCAGAGGTGAGGTAGATTGCCGACTTTAAGCAGAAAAAAGTAAGGAACAGCATGAGGGCCTGAGTGAAAGCCCTAGTAATAGGAAAGGGGGAAGGAGAAGAAGGGGAGTTACACACATACACATATATATATACATAATAGAAGCATGTAAAACTTTTAAATTTTGGTCTTTGCTTTTTTAATGCTGGTTATCTTGTACAAGAAGTTTGTTAGAATAATAAAATTACTATTCTATCACAGTATCTTAAATTCTATTAAAGTACCTTTAAAAAGTATACCTTTTTTTGTTTCTTTTGGACAGGTGACTCATTTTTCTATTGTTCTGACCGCCAAAGATTTTAACCCAGAGAAATATGCTGCCTTCACTAGGATATTGTGTAGGTCTGTATAAAACCATGTTAAATGCTAATATACCAAAATGGAAGTCTCACTCACTAGTAGCACAGCAGATTTCTTCACAGAGGAAGCATATTTTAGCCCTCTGTCTCTTGGCTTTATAGTTTTATCTGTAGCAGCTATATAGGGCTATTTTGTAAAGAGACCTTTCTCTTCTACTTTGTTGACTTCTCTTCTGATTTGGGAAAGTGGGCTGGGGAAAGAGAAAAAGCAGTTTGCCAGCTGTTATACTTCCTGGGTGTCTTGGGTCACTTGCCATTTTTGGTCTGTTACTTGTTACCTCCTGTCTAGGAATTTCCCTAGTAAAATGAGAAAGTTAAGTGCCTTAGGAACTTGCCAGCTGCTTCATATGTATCAGGATCTGTGTGTGACATTTTGAGGAAACTTAATAGAGATTTAACCATGATTCAAGTAGACTCAGTTTCAGCTCAACTATAAAAAAATATTTATTTAGCTGGATACTGGTGGCTCATGCCTGTAATCCTAGCTACTCAGGAGGCTGAAATCTAAGGATCATGGTTCAAAGTTAGCTGGGGCAGGAAAGTCCATGAAATTCTTATCTCCAATTAACCAGAAAATCAGAAGTGATGCTGTGGCTTAAAGTGAAAGAAAAAAAGCCTTGAGTGAAAATGCTCAGACACAGTGCTCAGGTCCTGAGTTCAAGCCACATGACCCCCCTCCCATATATTCTTATACATATATATACATATATATATGTATGTATTTGAAATACACCAATTCAGTTAGACATGGTGGCTCATGTTCGTAATCATAGTTACTTGGTAGGCAGAGATTAAAGTCATTACTCCATCTTCACCAGTGTTGGATATAGTGGTGCACACATGTCTAATACTAATGACATGGGGTACCGCAAATAAGGGGATCACAGTCCAGGCCAGCTTAAGCACAAAGTGAGACCCTTCTCGAGAAATAACTAACAGAGCTGCGTGCTGGTGGCTCACACCTGTAATCCTAACTACTCTAGAAGCTGAGATCTGAGGACCATAGTTCAAAGCCAGCTGAAACAGGAAAGACCATGAGATTCCTCTCTCTAGGTAACCACCAAACATCCAGAAGTGGAGCTGTGGTTCAAGTGGTAGAGTACTAGTTTTGAGTAAAAAAGCTCAGGGAAAGCACCCAGGCCTTGAGTTCAAGCCCTGGTGCTGGTACAAAAATAAAAGAAAGGGGGCTGGGAAGGTGGCTCAGTGGTAGAGTGCTTGCCTTGCATGCCTGAGGCCCTGGGTTCGATTCCTCAGCACCACATAACCAAAAAGAAAATAGCCAGAAGTGGCACTGTAGCTCAAGTGGTAGAGCGCTAGCCTTGAGCTGAAGAGCTGAGGGACAGCGCCCAGGCCCAGAGTTCAGGCCCCACGACCGGACACACACACACAAAAAAATAAAAATAAATAAATAAAAGAAAGAACACTAAAGGTCTTTCAGAATGGTTCAAGTACTCTGCCTTTAACTAAACTGCAAGTGCAAGAGGTCCTAAGTTAACATTAAAATATTTTTTTGTCAGTTGTGGGGCTTGCACTCTGGGTCTGGGCACTGTCCCTAAGCTCTTCAGATCAAGGTAAGTGCTCCACCACTTGAGCCACTGTGTCACTTCTAGTTTTCTGAGTGGTTTATTGGAGATAAGAGTCTCACAAACTTTCCTGCTGGGGCTGGCTTTGAACCTCCATCCTTAGATCTCAGCCTCCTGAGTAGCTAGGATTATAGGCGTGAGCCACTGGTACCCAGCCTAGGGTTTTAGTTTTAATGTTTTAATATTAGTAGTAGGTAAACTTGTAATTTTAGATGCTATGTATACTCTGACATACTGGATCCAATAATTTTTGGGGACAAATGAAGGGAATTGTTCATGTTTTTCACATTATAGGCTCAGGAAATGGATGCCTTTTGCCTTTTTGTATGTGTGGACTGGTACTGAGGCTTGAACTTGGGGCCTCCTACTCTACCTTACCTTTTGCACTCAAGGTTGGTGCTCTACCACTTGAGCCACACCTCCACCTCTAGATTTTTTTTGTTGGTTAATTAGAAGTAAAAGTCTTATGAAATTTTCTGCATGGACTGGCTTTGAATCGTGATCCTCAGATCTCATCCTTCTGAATAAGGATTACAGGTAAACCACCAGCATCCCTATTTTTTGCCTTTTCCACACATGCATACTCCTCCTTCTACCCCCCCACCCCTCACACACGGTACACAAAAACAGAAAACAAGAAGCAAACTAAATCTTCTCATTACCTAAAAGTTAAGTTGTATTATGAGTAAAATTTTACTGGTTTTGCAACTAGCCACAATACAAAAACTTTCTTGCTATCTGAAGACAAATTGCAGGTATATGGCTCACTGTAGAATGTAAGCAACTATTTGCTGATGTGGCACTGACATAAAGGGAGGTTGTTATTGCTTGAAGAGACTCATCCTTTTTTTTTTTTTTTTGGTTGTGGGGTTTGAACGCTGGGCCTAGGTGCCGTCCCTGAGTTCTTTAGCTCTACCACTTGAGCCACAGTGCCACTTCCAGTTTTCTGGTGGTTAATTGGATATGGGTCTCATGGGCTTTCCTGGCCTGGCTGGCTTTGAACTGTGATCCTCAGTTCTCAGACTCTTGGGTAGCTAGGATTACAGGCATGAGCCACCAGTGCCTGACTTGAAGAGAATCTTTCTAGGAGCCACAAACTAAAACCTCAGCAGAGGTGTTTTTGAACAAATACTGGACTCTACTGCATTTGATTGAGTCAGGATTAGGTTACTCAGTGGAATTCCCTGGAAGTATTCTGAGGCCCAGAAGGAAGAGTTGCTTCAGACCCTACTTTCTGCCCAGGTGGAAGGCCAGAGATTTTCTAGCTGCTGCAGACATAGTATTATGGATTCCTCTGTCACAGAGGAGAAAGGAGGACTCTGCTAATACCAGCCTCCTCATGCCCTTTCTGCCTTCAACCTTCATGTACACACCCACATGCCCATGTACACCTATATACACAAGCCTGTGCACACTCAGAGAAATCATTTTTTCATTGTAGGATAACATGGTAGTTCACCTTTATAGCATGCTGCATTTATCACTGGAAACTTGAAAGAACTTGGATTTCTTAATTATCTAAATATAGCTACCTCTGGGAGCTCTGATAATAAGTATGTATTCTACAGCTAATTACTGCTTTTGCTGGGAACAATGCATAAAACTTCCTGCCAAAGGAAATTGCAGCAGTAAAACAGAGTTGTATGACTAAGTACACTAGTTGAGAACATGTGACATTAAAAACAGAATGCAATGTTCCCGGGAGTAGTGGGCCTCCGAAAGCCCATCATTAATACTGTTTCCATAGGGAAGTTCTGTAGTCTTCTCCGTATGTATGGAGAGAGCTGCCTTCAGAGATTGTGGTAGATATATCCCGTGTTTTCTAACCTCATGAGAGAAGAAATACATTTGGGAAGGCTTAGACATGCAGAAGTGTATTCGCAAACTGGCTTTAGACTGTGTAGCAAGTACCGGTGCCTAACCTCAGTGCATTTCGTCATGTGATTCACACCAGGTGAAGGCATGGCCACTTCTTGTCCTTTCTTACAGAATGTATGTGAAACATGGGAGCCCAGTTAAAATGATGGAGAGTTACATTGCAGTTCTCACCAAGGGGATATGCCAGAGTGAAGAAAATGGGTCATTCCTTAGTAAGGACTTTGATGTTCGAAAGGCATATCTTGCAGGTTCCATCAAAGGTAAGGAAAAAGGCAAAGGAAGACAGAAGTAACAAAACCCAGGCCAATAACAAAAGTCTCATTTTCATCTCTATAATGTGTTTTCTACATAGGAGAGCACTTTAATTTTATATATCCCTATTAGAAAGCATTCTTTGTGGCATCACTTTCCGTATTGTTCTCTTGGTTGTTACAGAAATGTTCTTTCATCAGTAAGCTGGATTTCATGGCTTGAGTGCTCCCCTGACTTGCTTTTTTTTTGTCGTGGGGCTTGAACTGAGCCTTCAGCTGTCCTTCAGCTCAAGGCTCAAGGCTAGTGCTCTACCACTTGAGCCACAGCACCATTTCCTCCCCTGACTTTCATAGTTATTCTTTCCTTACATCTTAGCAGTTAGCTCTTCTATCAAGAGCCCTCAAGCTGCTGGCCTAGAGTCCCTAATCCAGCTCCTATCTGGAAAATCCAGATGGCAGAGGTTGCTCTGTATACTCTAGAGTAAGGAGAAGGGGAATTCTGCAGGTGAGGCTATCCTCCATTCCTCCATGTCAGAGCCTGACTTTTTTTTTTTTTTTTTGTGCCAATCCTGGGGCTTGAACTCAGGGTCCTTTTTTGCTCAAGGCTAGCGTTCTACTACTTGTACCACTTCCAGATTTTTGGTGGTTAACTGAATGTAACAGTCTCATAGACTTTCCTGCTGTGCAGATTGGCTTTGAACCAAGATCCTCAGATCTCAGCCTCCTTAGTAGTTAGGATTACAGGCATGAACCACTGATCCCCCCAGGGCTATACCCTACCGGCTGTCCTTTGTGGTTTCTGAGAATGTTGAGGTCTTTAGTGTTTTCATATTAGCTGGTAAGGACTGACATAATGTCATGGGAGTGGGTTAGTGAACTTGTGAATAAGGAAAAAGAAAGATATTGGTTCTTCACATCAGATATTTTACTTCCTTGTTAGTCTGGCTGTACATCCATCATAGAGTCCCTTGTGGGCCAGTTATTATCATCAGCTAAGACTCATCTTGGTGTACAGACATGGATAATATACCCATCCACAAAATGAGATGCTTTTGTGCTTAACATCTGCCTAGGTCTATCTTCTACATTAAAAATAAATTTTGTATTTGTATGATGAGAATTCTTTTTGGTTAAAAGTTTTATGCCAGGGGCTGGGAAGTGGTAGAGTGGGAAGCTCAGTGGTAGAGTGCTTGCTTTGCATGCATGAGGCCCTGGGTTCAGTTCCTCAGCACCACATGAGCAGAAAAAGCTGGAAGTGGTGCTGTGGCTCAAGTGGTAGAGTACTAGCCTTGAGCTGAAGAGCTGAGGGACAGCGCCCAGACCCAGAGTTCAGGCCCCACAACTGGCCAAAAAAAAAAAAAAAAAGTTCTATGCCATTACATAACATTTAATGCAGTAACATGATAATTTCTGTTTCTTTTTAGACATAGTATCTCAATTTGGAATGGAAACTGTTATATTACACACTGCACTGATGCTAAAAAAACGAATTGTCGTCTATCACCCTAAAATAGAAGCTGTCCAGGAGTTTACCAGGTATCATCATTAATTATTTAAACAGCATGAATTTTCTTGGCAGATTGAGATACTAGACGCCACTGTGTGGTGTGTTTTGTTGCATATTTGGTGTAAATAGTATTGGCCTGGCTGCATGACTCATACCTGAAATTCTTACTTACTACTACATGATTGAAATCTGAAGATCATAGTTTGAAGCCACCTTGGGTGGAAAAGCTTGAGAGAGTCTTCCTGTAATCAACCAGCAAAATGCTATATTGGAAGCATGGCTGAAGTGGTAGAGCTGCGGTTGTGAGCAGAAAAAACAAAATGTGTGAGAGCACAAGGCCCTGAGTTCAGGCACTAGTACAAGTACACGTACACAACACGCCATTTTGGTCTAATAGTTCAGATCTAGTGGACAGATTCTTCTTCAGCATTAGAAATAGGATTTTTTTTTTCTTTTTCTTTTGTGGGTCATGAGTCTTGAACTCTGGGCCTGAGCATGTCCCTCAGTTCTTCAGCTCAAGGCTAGTGCTCTACCACTTGAGCCACAGCGCCACTTCCCATTTTCTGGTGGTTTATTGAAGGTAAGAGTCTCACGGACATTTCCTGCCCGGGCTGGCTTTGAACTGCAATTCTCAGATCTCAGCCTTTTGAGTAGCTAGGATTACAGGCGTGAGCCACAGGCTCCTGGCAGAAATAGGAATATTTTAAAATAGGGAGTTAGCAAACTTTTCTTTCAGCAGAGTAAATATATGAGGCTTTTGAGCTATATGGTCTTTGTCCCAACCTCTGAGTTGTATGTAAATGAGTGAGCATAGCTTTGTCAAACTTTATGTACAAAGACAGGCAGCTGGCCCATAGTTTGTAGTTTATTGATCTCTGGTGGTGGTTTTTTGTTTTTTGTTTTTGTCTTGTGCCCATCCTAGGGCTTTAATTCAGGGCCTGCACACTGTCCTTGAGCTTTTTTTGCTTAAGGCTATTACTCTACCACTTGAGCCACAGATCCACTTCTGGTTTTTTGGTTGTTAATTGGAGATAAGAGTTGCACAGACTTTCCTGCTTGGGCTAGCTCAAACAGTAGTCCTCAGATCTTAATCTTCTGAATAGCTAAGATTACAGGCACAAGCCACAAGCACCTGGCCTTGATCTCTGTTTTAAGTGTGTCATTCCTTCTTTCTCACCGTTGTGGTGAGTTTCTAAAAGATTTTGTTTACCAAATCCAACTTATCCTTCAATTCTCTTTGAAAAATAAGATGAGTTAGCATTTGTGCTGAGTTTATTGCATGATGAGCATTATCTAAGTAAGACCTACCTTAAATTATTGAGCTTCATCAAGGAAGCGTCATTACTCTGTTTTATGAATGAGAAAATTGAAGCTGGCAGAGGCTAAGTGGTAAGCTAATGAAAAGGAGGAGGACTTTATAGACAGGCCTAGGTATAAATTCGGAGAGGGAAGTTTGTTAGCTCTGTGACCACATAAAACATACTGAGTGTCCCTAACCCTAATGTCTTTATTCATAAAATGAAGATTATAATACTTCTTAAGTTTGATTTGGGGACTGGAAATATGTAATGTGCTTATGCATGTGCCTTGCCCTTAATATTTGCAGTGGTTAGGATTATGATTATCTTACCTGAAGTGAGAGCACCAGAACTTTCACCCTCCCTGTCTGGCCTCAAAACTGTATATCGTTACAGCATGACCCATTGCTTCTGAAACTGGGTGTCCCCAGCTGCTGAGCTGTCACCACACACCAGGGGTTTCCAAAGCTACAGATACATTCTGTATATCTTCCTACAGTACCTGTTTTGTCTTTAGGATTTTTATGGAAACCCGTGTTGTCTGAAAACAAACATGACATGATTTGCAGGTATGGCCAGAATCTTAAGTCTAAATGGGAGACTTCTATAGAATTTCTTGATCACAGGGACCACTTTGGTTATTAGTCCCAAACTCCCTCCCCATGGCCAGTTTAGACAGTCGCATGTTTAAAGAAAGACTTTAGAATCATCATACTGTATCTTGAGCTTTTTGGAGCTGATTTTACCCAAAAAGTATAGTTTAAAATGTGACATTGTTAGCCACATGCCAGTGCTCACACCTGCAATCCTAGCTACTCAGGGGGCTGAGATCTGAGGCTCAAGATTTGAAGCCAGCCAAAGCAGGAAAGTCCTGAGATTCTTATCTCCAGTTAATCACCAAAAAGCCAGAAGTAGAGTTTTGGCTCAAGTGGTAGCATGCTAGTCTTGAGCAAAAAAGCTCAGGGACAGTGTGTAGGCCCTTAGTTCAGGCCCCAGTACACACACACACACACACACACACACACACACACACACACACACACACACACACACACACACACACACACACACACACACACACACACACACACACACACACACACACACACACACACACACACACACACACACACACACACACACACACACACCATTTTAATATGAAGCACACACACACACAGAGAAAACATTTTAATATGAAGCCTAAAAGCTCAGGGACAGTGTTTAGGCCCTTAGTTCAGGCCCCAGTACTCACATTCACACACACACACACACACAGAAAACATTTTAATATGAAGCCTATGGGTATAGGTCTCTACTCCTTTGTTTCCTCTCAGGATAAGGAAGTGAACATCCAAGGTGTAGGCCAGCAACCATGTGATAGAATTCTTGCCTTGATTCCCTAGGACTTTGCCTGCCTTGGTGTGGCATCGACAAGACTGGACTATCCTGCATTCCTACGTGCACCTCAGTGCCGATGAGCTGGAAGCCCTGCAGATGTGCCCAGGTAGGCAACAGCATATGGGGAGAAGTTCTGCTTTAGGTGTGTTTGGGCTTTGTTCAGGTGTTATGTTATATGCATTCCCTCAAAGGAAGTGCTGATGATTACTGTTTCTTTGGAAAATTCAATGAATTTTGTTTCCTATTTATATTTTCTGGTACCAGGGATTGAACTCAGGGCCTCACACTTGCTGGGCCTGCTTCTTAACACCTGGCTCTCTCTCCTAGGCCTCCAACTTAGCAAGATAGTTTGTTAGGCAAGTGCTTTAGCACTTGAGCCACATGCCCATCTTTCCTCAGACATTCTTTGTTGTTGTAGTAGTAGTTGTTGTTGCCAGTTCTAGGGCTTGAACTCTGGGCCTGGGCACTGTCCCTGAGCTTCTTTTGCTGAAGGCTAGCACTTGAGCCACAGCGCCACTTCCAGCTTTTTCTGTTTATGTAATACTGAGGAATCCACCCAGGGCTTCATGCATGCTAGGTAAGTACTCTACCACTGAGCCACATTCCTAGCCTGTCTTCAGGCATTCTTAATCCAAATAACAAAGACCAAAAAGCAAATGCTTCCCTTCAACTTTGCTCTTTGACACTGAAGTCAAACTTTGGAACATTTTGAGTTGTGTGAATTTCTTCCAGCAGTTGACATTAATGTAATTTTAATCAATGCCATAGGGTACAGCAAATGTTTCTGCATATATAAAACCATGAAGAAAAGTAGATGATGACCTGTGAGACTCAGTTCTCTCTTGATATATTCAAATAATGATTTCTTCCTGCTCCAATAATTTGATCATCTTGGTAATACAGGTTACATTGCCGGCTTTGTAGACTTGGAGGTGAGCAATAGACCAGATCTTTATGATGTGTTTGTGAATCTGGCTGATAGTGAGATCAGCATCGCTCCACTTGCAAAAGGTTAGTTCTCTGTTTTATTCTATTTTTCTCTGTGCTGTTATTGGCATGTATTGAGATACAAGCCAAGCAGTAGCAGTTTTTGGTTGTTGTTGTTGGTTGTGGGGCTTGAACTCAGGTCCTGGGTGTTGACTCAAAGCTAATGCCCTACCACTTTTAGCCATAGTGCTACTTCTGGTGGCTTACTCCTGTAATCCTAGCTAGTCAGGAGGCTGAGATCTGAGAATTGCGGTTCAAAACCAGCCTGGGCAGGAAAGTCCATGAGTCTTTTTTTTTGTTGTTGTTGGTTGTGGGGCCTGAACTCTGGGCTGGGGCGCTGCTGTCCCTCAGCTCTGCAGCTCAAGGCTATTGCTCTACCACTTGAGCCACAGCACCACTTCCGGCTTTTTTTTCCTGCTTATGTGGTGCTGAGGAATCGAACCCAGGGCCTCATGCATGTAAGACAAGCGCTCTACCACTGAGCCACCTTCCCAGCCCAGTCCATGAGATTCTTATGTCTATTTAACCACCAGAAAATTAGAAGTGGTGCTGTGGCATTAGCCTTAAGCAAAAAAGCTCAGGGACAGTGCCCAGGCCCTGAATTTTAGGCCCATAACTGACCAAAAAAAAAGAGGGGGGGGAGGGTCTCACAGACTTTCCTGTGCTGGCTGGCTCTGAACTGCAGTCCTTAGGTCTCAGCGTCCTGACAGCTAGGAACCACCAGTGCCTGGCTTGTTTTTTAGGATGATTTTTGGAAACAAGTGTTTCAGAGCCGACTTAACTTGGTCTGTGGAAGCTGGAGAGATTTTCTTTTTTTTTTTTTGGGTCCAGTCGTGGGCCTGAACTCTGGGCCTGGGCGATGTCCCTCAGCTCTTCAACTCAAGGCTAGCGTTCTACTACTTGAGCCACAGCGCCACTTCCGGCTGTTTTCTTTTTGCTTATGTGGTGCTGAGGAATCGAACCCAGGGCCTCATGCATGCAAGGCAAGCGCTCTACTACCGAGCCACCTTCCCAGCCCGCTGGAGAGATTTTCAGTGTCCATATCATTTGTTCCTTCAGACCTAGACATGTTAGCAGTCAGGATTAGTGGTAGTAGCTTTTTGTGGTCATTACCTTTTTCCTAAAAGTAGGAAAAGCAGAATGCTAGCATGTTCAGAGTCTCTTTCAGATTCTGTCTCTGTGAGGTTTTATCTAGCAACTTCAAATTAAGAAAGCCAGAATTGGGCTGGGTGCCCGTGGCTCATCTTAAGAGACTAAGATCTGAGGATCACCCTTTGAAGCCAAGCCAATCAAGAAAGTCTGTGAGACTATTATCCAATTAATGATGAAAAGAAAAGCCAGCAGTGGTGCTGTGGCTCATCTTGAGATGAAGAGCTGAGGAACAGCGCCCAAGCCCAGAGTTCAGGCCCCACAATTGGAGGGGGGTTGGGGCGAAGTGTTTACCACCACACGTAGCTCAGATACTGCTCTTTGTAAAACTCAGAGACAGAAAACTAGCTACTTAAGGCTACTTAAAGATGGGGCCATAGGCTGGGAATGTGGCTCAGTGGTAGAGTGCTTGCCTCACATGCGTGAGGCCCTGGGTTCAATTCCTCAGCACCACATAAGCAGAATAAGCCAGAAGTGGCGCTGTGGCTCAAGTGGTAGAGTGCTAGCCTTGAGCTGAAGAGCTGAGGGACAGCGCCCAGGCCTAGAATTAAGGCCCCATAACTCACAAAAAAAAAAAAAAAAGTTAAGGTCAGAAAGGGCATCTCTTCTGAGTCTATAAAGCAAGCATATTCCTATTGGCACCATTTGAATGGAGTTTGTCCCTGGAGGTGAGAAGAACTTTCTGTCAGTCTTGTTGCAGACAGCAGCCAGGTTGTGGCTGATGTAAGTTTCCTCCACTGGTGGCAAAGGGCCTCAGCCCATGCGGTTCTCAGCCGCTTCCACCACACTGACAGGAAGCATGTCCTTTGCAACGTTCCCCACAAAGATACGGTGACGTTCATTCTTCACTGTAAGCAACTGGCTCTTGTCTTCAAGTTGCAGCTTATTTGTAGTCAGTTTTTTTTTTTTTTTTTTTGCCAGTCGTTGGGGCTTGAACTCTGGGCTCTGGGCACTGTCCCTCAGATCTTCAGCTCAAGGCTAGCGCTCTACTACTTGAGCCACTGTGCCACTTCCGGTGGTTTTCTGAGTGGTTTATTGGAGATAAGAGTGTCACGGGACTTTCCTGCCCAGTCTGGCGTTGAACCATAATCCTCAGATCTCAGTCTCCTGAGTAGCTAAGATTACAGGCATGAGCTACTGGCACCCAGCTGTTTTGTTTTGAACTGTTTTGTCTGGAAAAATAGTCCTTCTTATCATGTGGATGTGAAGAGGAGTTCACTTTGGTGTTGGTGTGTTTTCCTTTGGCCTGTGAAGAATATAAATCATGCTCATGCCTTACCTCTATCATGTTATTCCATTTGTGTTTCATAATCAATGGAGTAATAAGAGTTCCAATGGAATCAGCTGCCTTTTGAAATTTCTCTGTAGATATGGTCTTCCAAAGTTTCCAGTTAGGATGGCATGGTTATTTTATTTTATTGTCAGTTGTGGGGCTTGAACAGCTTGGGCGCTGTCCCTCAGCTCTTCAGCTCAAGGCTAGCACTCTACCACTTGATCCACACTGCCACTTCTGGCTTTTTTTTTTGCTTATGTGGTGCTGAGGAATCGAACCCAGGGCCTCAGGCATGCAAGGCTAGCGTCTCACAGGCTTTCCTGCTCTGGCTGGCTTTGAACTGCGATTCTCGGATCTCAGCCTTCTGAGTAGCTAGGATTATAGGCATGAGCCACCAACACCTGGCACATGGTTTTGTTTTTTTTGTTGGTCATAGGGCCTGAACTCAGGGCCTGTGTACTGTCCCTCAGCTCTTCAGTTTAAGGCTAACACTCTACCACTAGAGCCACAGCGCCACTTCCAGCTTTTTCTGCTTATGTGGTGCTGAGGAATTGAACCCAGGGCCTCATCCATGTAAGGAAAGCACACTACCACTGATCCACCTTCCCAGCCCCTCATGGGTATTTCTCTTTTTGGGGGGGGGGGGTGCGGTCGGATTGTGGGGCCTGAACTCTGGGCCTGGGCGCTGTCCCTCAGCTCTTCAGCTCAAGGCTAGCGCTCTACCACTTGAGCCACAGCACCACTTCCGACTTTTTTCTTTTTGCTTATGTGGTGCTGAGGAATCGAACCCAGTACTTCAGGCATGCAAGGCAAGTGCTCTACCACTGAGCCACCTTCCCAGCCCCCCTCATGGGTATTTCTAATTATATAAAGTCGTAAATATTCACTTAGCACACTTTTCTTACTCTCACAGAGGCCATGATGATGGGCAAACTGCACAAAGAAATTGGCCAGCTCATTGTTCAGTCTGCAGAAGACCCAGAAAAGTCAGATGGCCAGGTTATCCAGGTAACTCCTCCATCTGATCTGTTACCCAAGTAGGCCTGCTACCTACCCATGGCCAGGAAGAATGGCTAGCACTTCCTCCAAGGATCTGGACACTGAGACCGTCTTTGCTCCCATATAAGTCAGAATCACTAACCCTTTGCCCACCCTCTGCCAGCATTAGAGCAAAACCACTCAGGTTTACAATGTTGGTCATATACGGAGGTTTGAGTTTAGGATTTAGGTTTGATTCTGCATCGTGGACTAGAAATGATAACATACGTGACTGTGTAATGTCTGAGAGCTTGGGAAGGAAATTGACCGAATTAAGCAGGTTGTCTGTTTGAAAATTATTTTAGTGAGTAAATGATGTCAGCAAATCAGGCCAAAAACATGGCTTTGCTAAGAGTGCCAGTGAGCCATCAGCTGCTTTAGGAGCTGCCCTGGGTGGCGGGCGCCGTAGCGGCTCTTATGAAGAGTTGCATGCCAACAATAAATATCAAATGCCCCGTGGCTCAGCACTCTCCTCCTTGGTATATACCCAAAGAACTAAAGGCAGACTCAGATGTTTGTACACCCATAGTCACAGCAGCATTGATCAGAGTTGGCAAAAGGAGGAAGTCACCTAAGTGTCCAACAGATGAATGGATCAGCAAGATGTGGTGTGCGCACACAACAGAATATCAATCACCTTAAGAAAGATAAAGTTGAAGTCAGGCGCTGGTGGCTCACACTTGTAATCCTAGCTACTCAGGAGGCTGAGATCTAAGGATCACAGTTCAAAGCCAGTCTGGGCAGAAAAGTCCATGAGACTTTTATCTCCAATTAACCACCAGAAAACTGTAAGTGGTGTTGTGGCTCAAAGGTAGAGCACTAACTTTGCGCAAAAGAGCTCAGGGACAGTGCCTAGGCCCTGAATTCAAGCCCCCTGACCAACACACACACACACACAAAAAGGTAGTTGATTTATGCTCCAAAATAAATGGGCATTATGCTAATGATACAATAATGAATGACATTATAATAATATTCAGGATGTATTTTGTGAATGCACTTAGATACCCACAATGGGCAGGTTTAAGAGGAAGAAGTACAGGGAGGGGCACTAGGATTCTGAGGGTTGGGGATGGGCAGGTACTGATACAGTGTAGTCTCTCTTAGGAATGGTGAAAAGATTCTGGAAATCGAGTTGTTCATGGTTGTTCACACCATGATTACACTAATGCCACTTTAAAATTACAAGGCTTTAAAAAATGCCTGTGATGTTGATTGTTCTAAGTCGTTTTGTTTTCGTAACTAGTAAACAGCCGAATTCTAGAGAAAAACTCACTATTTTTAGGTACTAACATACCGCTTTGTATTCTGCTCTATTGAAGGATATTGCTCTAAAAACAAAAGAAATCTTCACCAACCTAGCTCCATTTTCAGAAGTCTCCAACGATGGAGGAAAGAGAGTCCTCAATTTTGAGGCACTAAAGCAGAAACGATTTCCACCAGCAACAGAAAACTATCTATACCATCTAGCAGCAGCTGAGCAAATGCTGAAAATCTGACTGTGAGCCAGACTGTCTGGTCATCTGATGTAAAGCTTTCCTTTCATTCTGATTTTCCATTAACGATGTAAATTACTGAAGATTACAGAGGAAATGTTCTATTTTTAGCAATTTATTTGAAAGTATTGAGATCTAACCCCAAAAGCCCTGAAAAACACTTGTGATTTCCTCCCTGCCTGCTGTCCATGTGGGAGTGTTGTTTCTACTACATCTGGTGTGAGCCAGCGTCGTCTTGGAGTGAGGGAAGAGCAGATCCTGCATAGGCAAAAGCCTCAGTACACATTCCCTTTTGCCTCCTCATGTAGCCATAAACTAACATTAATTTTTCAGAAAGCTGCCTGAAGTTTTGCTTTGTATTCTTCGAGGAAGAACTGTAATGCCTCATGAGGAACTCTACTTTCTGAGCCAAACTGCTAAGTTTTCTGCAGAACTGTCTAGATCATCCAAGAGGCTCTGCAGTTGCACCTTCTTGTAAAAGATTTTTTTTCTTGGCCTTTGAACGTTTTGCCTATATTATGAGGGTTTTGCATAGATTTTATACTTCAGTAGACTTTAATAATCCATATTTATACTGCACTGATGTAAGCATTTGGCAGATTTAAGTCAGCACTCTAAATTTAATCCTGCTGTGGCAACATTTAGGAAAGAAATCAGTCCTTGTCTGGTAGCATACATAGAACGCCCTTTCAGCATGAATCTCTGGGCCTGAAACAAAGCCTTCATGTGATTGGTAAGGTAGTGACTCAGTTTTTTGCAGGGCCCATGGCCAGAGAATGTGAACATCTTCAAAGGCTTCAGTAAAAGTAGTCTGTACCTTTTTCATAGTTGAAGACCTTACATTTGCCAAATAAGCACAGGTCTAAAGTATATACTCATTTCATTATGTCTACTCATATCGATTAGGAAAGGTTACACTCAGTACTGTTGTCCTTTGGCATCTTACTTGGAAACATGTTTGCAAAAAAATTGTAGTGGATTTTTTTTTCTTGTTCTTAGACACTCCTTAAGTAAAAATTAAAAAACAAAGAACAAAAAAACCCCAGGTTTTCCCCTCCTTCCTTGGGTGGGGACAGTGAGGACCTGGAATGAGATGATGTTTACTGAGGCCAACAAGTGAGAATTAAATTTGCACTTTGTGACAAACAATACTAATGTCTTTTTCTCCCTCATTTTTTCTCATAATTATTCTTAGCTACTGATCAGAAAAAGAAAACCCTTTTCTCCCGTCCTAAGGCCTCAGGGATTGTGTGGTTGGTCTGTATGAGAGCGAAAGCCTTTTCCATGTCCTCCATCTCTGCCTGCTCCTCTCTTTGACAAGGTTTCCACATACCTGCTCGATGATGTCAGCCTTTGCCCATCCTTCTCTACCATTAATTTTGCTTAGTGTACACCTGTGGCCAGACAAACCATCTGGTAGGTAATTCTGGATTCATTTTGGGCTTCTCTGAAAGTCCTTTTTATGAAAATTGGAAATAACCCTTCATTTTGGCTTAAGAAAAACTGAAAGGCACAAGGTTCAGTCTTTGGTGATGTGGGTAGGGTGTATTAGAAACATTGTTTCAACATCCAAACAGGGATCCACCTTCTATGTTCTGGGCTACCTGAAGGGCAAATGGTGCCTTGAAGAGTTTACTGGGGAACAGGGTCAGCCCACAGGCTGATGTACTAATATAGCCAAGGCCAGACCTGACAGGAGGGGGACAGGGTAAAATGGAATCCTGTGGCAAGGGCATCTTGGAAACCTGGAGGCAAGGATTAACATACAAGTCAGTCCAAAGCAGAAGGGACAGCTTACAGGAAGGCCTAGAGAAGCCCACAGTGCAGGTGAAAACAAGATGCTGATTCAGAATGAGGAGAGGAACTTCCAAGGAAGGTAACGGTTCCCCAGGGCTAAGTGAATTGATTTGGTCACCTGGCACTGGAAGCCCAACCTTGTCTGCAGGTGTGTGAAGAGCAGCACCAGCAGGGGGCACTACTGTGCTGAGCTGGATGGCAGCAAGGCCATGGTTGTCTGGACAGTTGGGAAGATGAGGCATCCTGTAGAATGAGGTGGGGTGAGGGTGCCCGCAACACTGTTGCCTGATGTGGAGAACGCAGTGGCACCAGATGGAGGGAGCTGAGCCCATGTGTGAGTGGACCGGCTTTGTATCTGGCGGACACCCTAATAGCCTAATCAGGTCTTGCTCAGAGCCAGGATAGGTCTAGGGGCCATCAGCATGGCAGTGTAGCCTTGGGATAGGGGTACGGGTGGGAACAATTCTCGGCTAACAATGCGGACCAAGCCCCCAAGGCCCCAGTGCTGATCAAGGCTGGCTCTGAAGGGCTTTTGTTACTTTCTTGATGAAATTGGCTTAGGAGGAACCAATTGAAAGGGAAGCTGGAGGCAGAGGGGACCCCAGAGACAGAACAAGGCCCTAAGCCACAGAGGGATCAGGAGCTGAAGCCAGCTGGCCATACAGAACAGGAGGTACTGCTGCTGGTAATGGCCATGGCTGACCCAGTGAGGAAGCTAACAGGGTCCTGTCAGTGAGGAGCTGGGAGTGTGGCAGGTGGGCACTGGTTATCTGGTATTGCCAAACTGAGCAGGACTAACTATGGCAGGCACTAGGGCTGGGGCTGCCTGGGCTCCCAATCTGGAGATGGGCAAGGGGCAACCTTCACCTTTGAAGCATTCAGTTTTAGCTGTTTATTAGTACTTCACAGTATCTTTTCCCAGGCAGGCTCCTCGATGCCAGCTAGGACCCTCTTGTCCCTCTTCCAGCCTCAGAACCCAGCTCCAAAGCTAGTCTGTCTTGCAGGGGTCTCCTGAGACCTTGAAGGAAAGGAGGATTCCAAGCAAAAGCCAGATAACTTCACCTAAAATAGCCTACACTCCTCTGTTATAGAATAGTTCTGTTTCTTCTGTGGAAGACTGAATTTCCTCTTCAAGCTTTCTGCTCTGCACCTGAAAAGCAAAATTAAATTCTTTTTTTTTTTTTTGTCCGAAAGTGGGGCCTGAACTCTGGGCCTGGGCGCTGTCCCTCAGCTCTTCAGCTCAAGGCTAACGCTCTACCACTTGAGCCATAGCACCACTTCTGGCTTTTTTATTTTCTGCTTATGTGGTGCTGAGGAATCGAACCCAGGGCCTCATGCATGCAAGGCAAGCGCTCTACCACTGAGCCACCTTCCCAGCCCACAAAATTAAATTCTTAATATTTATACGCATAAACTTCTGCCTTAGAAGTTAAACAATAAGCTAAGTGCTGGTGGCTTACTCCTGTAATCCTAGCTACTTGGGAAGCAGAGATTGAAAAAAGAAAAGTTCAAGCCAGCCTGGGCAAAAAGTTATCAAAACCCAATTTCAGGGATGGGAAGGTGGCTCAATGGTAGAGCACTTGCCTTGCATGCATGAGGCCCTGGGTTCAATTCCTCAGCACCACATAAGCAAGAAGAAAAAAGCCGGAAGTGGCACTGTGGCTCAAGTGGTAGAGTGCTAGCCTTGAGCTGAAGAGCTGAGGGACAGCGCCCAGGCCCAGAGTTCAAGCCCCACAATCGGACCCCAAAAAATAACAATTTCAAGCAAGATGCCAGGTAGGATGGTGCACACTCGTGGTCGCAGCTACTTGGAAAATGCAGGTAGGATGGTCCCAGTCTGAGTCTGGCCTGGGCAAAAAAACATGAGATTCTCCCTGAAAATTAAAAGTTTGTTCATATGTCTTTGGGAGTGTAAGGGGAGGCACAGAAATGGAGGGGCAAAGCTGGGGGGAGGTGGCTCACGCCTGTAATCCTAGTTACTCAGGAGCCTGAGACCTGAGGATCTCGGTTTGAAGCCAGCCTGGTCAGAAAAGTCTGAGAGACTCTGATCTCCAATTAACCACCAGAAAACTGGATTGGTACTATGACTCAAAGTGATTGACTGCTAGCCTTCAGCAAAAGAGCTCAGGGATGGTGCCCAGGCTCTGAGTTCAAGCCCCACAACCGACCAAAAAAGAGTAAGAAATGGAGGGACAAAGGGTGAACAAGTGCAGCGGTGGTACTCACTAGACATATGTTGAAAATGAACTGTACAACTTGTGGGTGGGGGATGGGAGGAAAAAGCAGAGAGAGGGCGAGGGAAGGAGGGACATTGTCCAAAAAGAAATGCACTCTTTACCTGAATTATGTGACTATAACCCCTCTGTACATCACCTTTATCATAACAAAAATAAATAAAGGCAGGGGCATGGCTCAAGTAGTAGACTGACCACCTAGTAAGCTTGAGGCCCTACATTCAAATCCTAATGCCACCACAAAATTTAAGTAACCATTTCATCTTTTTAAATGATGTTTAATGAATAGCAATATCTATCATCTAGAATCTTTTTTTTTTTTGGGGGGGGGGGGGTCCGGTCGTGGGGCCTGAACTCTGGGCCTGGGCGTTGTCCCTCAGTTCTTCAGCTCAAGGCTAGCGCTCTACCACTTGAGCTACTGTACCACTTCCAGTTTTCTGAGTGGTTTATTGGAGATAAGAGTCTCAAGGACTTTCCTCCCTGGGCTGGCTTTGAGCTGCTCTGCTCAGATCTCAGCCTCCGGAGTAGCTAGGATTACAGTGTGAGTCACCAATGCCTGGCTTATCATCTAAAACTTTTTAATGGAAATTTTCAAAATTAAATGTAGAATTGGGCATTCATGTTTTGTGCCTGTGATCTTAGCTACTCAGGAGACAGATGTGAGGATCAAGGTTTGTAGCCAATTCTAGCAGGAAAGTCTGAGACTGTTATCTCCAATTAATCACCAAAAAGCCAGAAGTACAACTGTGGCTCACATGGTAGAGTGCTAGCCTTGAGCAAAAAAGCTCAAGGACAGCACTCAGGCCTTGAATTCAAGCCCCATGATTGGCACACACTAAAAACTGTAGAAGGAATATAATAAGCTCTCCCGTACTCCCCAATCAGCCATAACCGCTAACCATCTGTTGATATTATTGCCTCAAGCATCTCCCACACCCAGAAGTGGGATTTTTCTCCTTGAGTACTTTAAGACAATTTTCAAATGGCTGTTTCTTTGACAAATTCCAAATGGCTAGCAATTCAGGAGGCTGAGATCTGATTATGATGGTTCAAAACCATCTTGTACAGATGAACATCCAGTTAACCAGCAAAAAAGACAAACATGGAGTGAAAAAGCTAAGGGAGAGGGTGAAGCACAAATTTCAAGCCCCATATTGGCACCCACACAAAAGAAATTCCAAATGATAAAGATTGTTACTATGTATGTGATAATGACAGTAACTACCTATGTCACTATGACACCTAAAAAAATTAACATTTCCTAATATCTCCAGTATCAAATAGTCCCACAAAACTGGCTATACTGGCTGACACAGACAGGCAGAGGGTCTCCGAGCCCCTCCTGGTCCTGGATAGAATTATGTCCAAATACAGACATTCTGTTTTTATAAGTTTTTGCTTATTTATTTATTTAGTGGTCGTGGGGCCTGAACTCTGGGCCTGGGCACTGTCCCTCGGCTCTTCAGCTCAAGGCTAGTGCTCTACCACTTGAGCCACAACGCCACTTCCAGCTTTTTCGTTTTTGCTTATGTGGTGCTTAGGAATCGAACCCAGGGCCTCGGGCATGCAAGGCAAGCGCTCTACCACTGAGCCACCTTCCCAGCTTCCTATTTTATAATTTTTACAAACAGATTTAGACAATAATTTAGCTGCATACCAAATGCTCACCTGTGTAATCCTAGCTACTCTGGAGGCTGAGATATGAATCTCATGGTTTGAAGCCAAACCTGGCAGAAAAGTCTTTGAGAGTTTTATTTCCAATTGACCACCAAAAAAGCCAAAAGTGGAGCTGTGGATCAAGTGGTGGTGAACCAGCCTGGAATGAAAAGACTGAGCAAGAGGCACAAGGTTCTGAATTCAAGCCCCAATATGGCATTAAACATTTTTGCTGTACTTTGTTTTGTTTTGTTTTTGATTGGTCTTGCGGCTTGAACTCTGGGCCTGGGCGCTGTCCCTCAGCTCAGCTCAAGGCTAGCACTCTACCACTTGAGCCACAGCACCACTTCTGGCTTTTTCTGTTTATGTGGTACTGAGGAATCAAACCCCGGGCCTCATGCATGCAAGGCAAGCACTCTACCACTGAGCCACCTTCCTAGTCTCCCGGCTGCTGTACTCTTATAAACATGAAATTATATCTGTTACTGCTGCGGTGAAGTGGAGGACACTCACCCGTCCAACTTGAGGAAACATGCTAAACGATACTGGCACCATCAGTCCCATCACCAGCACAGTACAAGATAGTTTGGCGGTCCACAATGACCACGGGTTTTCCAAGTAAAACAGGGTCCTGTAAGAGATAAGGCCACAGCTCACAGCTGGCACTGAACACTTCTGGCCTCTTTTTTTGGTTGTTTGTGGGTTTTGAATTCTGGGCCTTGGTGCTGTCCCTGAGCTCTTCAGCTCAAGGCGACACTCTACCACTTGAGCCACAGTGCCACTTCCAGTTTTCTGGTGGTTAATTGGAGATTAGTCTCACGGACTTTCTTGCGAGGGCTGGCTTTGAACTGTGATCCTCAGACTTCAGCCTCCTGAGTAGTCAGGATTACAGGTGTGAGCCACCGGTGCCCAGCTCTGGCCTCTTTTCTGAGGCAAGCCTCTGCCCCACTGGTGCAGGCCCAAAAAGCTGCATGAACTAAGTGCTTGCTCTGTGTGGGTCGGGCTCCGAGGTGGCCCTTGCTCACTGAATCCCCCACAGCCTGGGTATAAGGTCAGTGTGACCATAAGCCTCACACAAATGAAATGGACACACAAGCTGGTGACATAAGCATGGCATACGACATGGCCCAAAAAGTGGTGGATGAGTTAGGTGCTGGTGGCTCATGCCTAGAATCCTAGCTACTCAAGAGGCGGAGATCTGAGCATCGTAGTTGAAAGCCAACCCAAAAAGCAAAGTTAGTGAGACTCAGCTCCCACCAAAAAGCCAGAAGTGGAATTGTGGCTCAAGTGGTAGAGCACCAGGCTTGAGTGGAAAACACCCAGGGGTTTGAGACCCAGGTTCTCTCAGACACTGTCCGACCCCCTGACAAATCTGCAGACCCTGGAAACTCTACCTTTTGTTTTTTCTCTGATGCAAAATGGGGGAGTTAGGAGATCCACCAAGCCCTTCAGCTTGGATATTGAGGCTCTGAGAGAGTGCTTCTTTGAGATCACTGATAGCTCAGTTAGCTTCTAGATTGTTCCATGCTCATGAGGAAACTGTGACCACCTCTGCTCATCAGGCAGCGGTACCACTTGTGTAAGCCTTGAGGGAGGACAGAGGTCCCAGCCTTGACAGATCTGTAGTGTTGAGGTCACCCAACAGTCTAGAAAGACCTCAACTGAGCAAGTTTCCGCATGTATCCAACTGGACCAACCATGGGAAGTGATGGCTGCCTCTGCCCCGAGCACGACTTCCTGACATATGGCTCATGTGTTGCTGGCAGTTTCCTCGACTTCCCACGCTGTACAGTTGGCTGGTCTAGAACCAAGCCGGTGACCACTGTGGCCCAATGGGCTCCTCCTCTGGAGTGTCCTGATCTGACTGAAGACAGTCCAGCCTCGCCTGGGCTTTGTATATATTCACCTCTGACTGGAGGCTGAAAGAAGAGTTACATGACTGGTAGTTTGCCCCAAGTCTACTCTGGCAGGAGAGGACACCAACAACAATGGAGCGTTGGTTCCAGCAGCTGTGCACAATATTCCACCCACGCTGGTCCCTACATCCCAGGTCTCCCTTCTGGCGGGGTGGGCTCCTCATTTAGCAAGCACAGGATCTCTGCCTAACAGGTCATAGCTTGCTTCACAATTGGGAGCCGGTCTACTATATGGGGGAGGGGTCAGGAGAGCAAGTAAGCTCATTACAGCATGCTCAGTGTTGGGGAGGGGAAACCTGTGCAAAGCTAATAGCACACTGGAGCTGGGTGAGTTTGCAAATCACCAACTCCACTGTGCTGGCAGCCTATGGACAGCACCCAGGCTTGATTCCACGCTGGCTACAATCACCACATCTAGATGTCTTCTGGTCTTCAAGAAATGAGTGTTTATTAGGAAGGTGGTGCAGCCCCCTCTTTCCGCCCTTCCCCCAGGTTCACATCCCACAAGCCTTCTAAAGATTTTAACTGCTAACAAGTTTTTCCCTACCTGTGCTAAGAAAGGTCCCACTTACCTTTTGTAAAAGTATGTGAAGACTTCTGGGATCAAAGCTGAGATCCCAAACAGCACTGCTCTGGAGATGGATGTTTCCCTAACAGCCTGGTGAAAATGCAAAAAAAGGGGGCAGCTGAGTACACGGAATGAGATGAAGCTGGGGATCCTACAGCTCCTTGCACACTGAGGAAATGTGCTGGCAAGAGATGGAGCTGATGCGTCCCAGGGTCTTTCTAGATGTGGGGACAGGGAGGACAGCTGGGGCAGGCGCCAAGTACTGAGAGGGGATTTACTCCCTGACTCCACTGTGGACTCCATGCTCCAATAACCCAGCTCCTGTGTCTAAGCCCAGGGATCTAGACAAAGCCTTGCTTAGGACAAACAGCCCCTTGGAGGAGATGTGAAATTTGCCACTGAAGTTGGTTCCACATTTCCTTTCAACTAGACCTCTGCCACTGGCCTCCAACCTTGAACCTGATCCCAGTAATTCCCACACTGTCAATGCGGGAAGCCATCAGAAGGCCAGCATCTTGAGACCACTGGTTTGGTACAGTACCATGTAAGCTCACTGCCCATACCCAGCTTCCAGCTGTGGAATTAAAGTGGTTTGCTATCAAACTATATTTTGTATAGGTATGTATTTATATTTATATTTATAACATTCTCCCACTTTTCTTCTTATTTTTTTTTTGCCAATCCTGGGGCTTGAACTCATGGCCTGGGCATTGTCCCTGAGCCTCTCTGCTCAAGGCTAGCACTCTACCACTTGAGCCAGAGTGCCACGTCTGGCTTTTCCTGTGTATGTGGTACTGAGAAATCGAACCCAAGGCTTCATACATGCTAAGCAAGCACTTTACCACTAAGCTACCTTTCCAGCTTCTCCCACCTTTTCTATACCTTTTTCTATCTACTAAAACATTGAACATCTGAACATATCAATTTGCTATATGAATTATATGCACAAACCATATTATCTGTAAGGGCAATGTAGGGACTGTGAATGGAGAGAACTTGTGTTTTTATTTTGTCAGCACTTGGTTTTGTCCAGCTTGCTTGCTCAGCTTGTTTTCTCTCCTGGTGCTCTGCCATTGAGCCATACCTCCAACCAGCTCTTTGCTGGTTCCTTTGGAGATGGAAATCACATGGACTTGTCTGCCTGGACATGCTTTGAACTGTGATCCTTCAGATCTCAGCCTCTAGAGTAGGCAAGATTAAGGCATGAGTCACTAGCAGTTGGCCTGGGAAATTTTGACTCGGTTTACATATTAACTGTAGACCTCAGCCCCGACAGATATACCTTCACAAGCTGGATGAACAGGCAGAGGCTGGAGGTGTGGTTTGCTGGTGGAGCACTTGTCTTGTATGTGCAAGGCCCTGGGTTCCATCCTATCTTTATGGGGGGCGGGGAAGGGAGGAGGCGGCTAACATTTGAGGGCTGAGGGTCTGACTTAGGTAGAACACTTACACAGCACTACTGAAAAAAAAAATAAATCCTTCCAGGTACCCCATGTGTTCCCCAGCCCCTGTGACCGGCCCACATCCTCCCTTCCCAGTAGCCCTGCTCCCCTCACACCACTGCTCAGCAGACAGCCCGTGACACACGCTCCAGCTCAGACCTGATGGGTCCTCTGGAGAGAAGGCCTTTCCCTGCACAAGAATAGGAAGAGGCCAGAGGATCGTTTCCAAGGAAACTTTCAGGAGAACAAAGTAAAACCTCTGCTGTTTAGGAAGAGAGCAGGGGCTGCTGAGCCCGCAGTGCTTCCACACTGATGGGCGAAGCCAGTCTCTCTGTCTGGCCCGTGAGTGAGGGGAAGATACACCCCAAAAGGATACTCGTCATCCAGAGGCACTAGATGACGCCTGGCTGCTTCCTTACTTGGCTGATGTGGCCAGTGAGGAAAGCCTTACGCTGATCTCCTGAAAGCTGACCCAGGAGCTCGATTACAATCAGATACTGCTGGTTACGCAGTTTCTGAAATTTTAGCCAAAGAAAATAGATCTTTCAGCCACTGGGAAAAGGTAAAAGAATGCGTATGCTTACGCACAGCCATAGGCACTTTATGCTTAAGAGAAAGACATTTTTTTTCTAAAGCAGATCATCAAACTCTTCCCTTCACCCTAAACTGGCCTCCTGCGAGAAACCAGGTTCCCACTGGTGAGAAGGGGTACAGGGAGGCTCCCACGCTCCGGTGGCCACACCCCAGGCACAGGCTGCACAGCCAGAGGGAGCAGGCCCCTCACAGGTGAGGGCTCAGGTCTGTGGACCCTAACACTGCACCTGGCAGGCAGTAGAGGCTGGGCAACAGGTGGCTACTTTAACACTTGTTCTCACTCTATCCTCCAGCTTCATGAGCCATTCTCAGCCATAATGACACCCAGGAGTTAAACTGAGTTGAAAAGAAGTGCAAACACAGGTCCACACGCAGTCTCCAGCCAAGGCTCGGCGCAGCCACAAACTAGCCTGACTCCCATTGTCTACCGCCTGTGTGTAAAATGTCTGTTACACACACATGGTACTAATGTAAGAAAGAACAAAACACTGACGTGTGGTTCAAAATGGATGAGCAAAAGAGTAAAAGAAGCCATGTAAAAAAACTACTGGTTGGAGTAGGCACAGGAGGCTCACGCCTATAATCCTAACTCCTCAGAAGGCTGAGATCTGAGGATTACAGTTTGAAGACAGCCTGAACAGGAAAGTCTATGAGACTCTTAGCTTATTAGCCACCAAAAACATGGAAGGGGAGCTGTGCCTCAAGTAATAGAGTACTAGCCTCCAGCAAAAAAGTTAAAAGACAGCACCCGGGCCCAGAGTTCAAGCCCCAGGAATGGCACAAACACACAAAAAAATCTACTGGATAATTCATTTATATGAAATTTCTAGAAGAGGCAAAAGTAAGAAGATAGTGTTTTTCTAGGGCTTGGAGTGGAAGCAAAGAGTGAATACATGGGGAGATGGGCCATAGGGGGCTGGGACTGTGGCTCAGTGGTAGAGTGCTTACCTAGCATGCAGGAAGCCCTGGGTTAGATTCCTCAGCACCATGTAAGCAGAAAAAGCCAGAAGTGGCACTGTGGCTCAAGTGGTAGCATGCTAGCCTTGAGCAAAAGGAGCTCAGGGACAGTACCTAAGCCCTGAGTTCAAGCCCCAGGACTGGTGGAAGGAAGGAAGGAAGGAAGGAAGCAAGCAAGCAAGCAAGCAAGCAAGCAAGCAAGCAAGCAAGCAAGCAAGCAAGCAAACAAGCTTGTTGCCAGGTGCCAGTAGCTCATACCTATAATCCTAGCTACTCAGGAGGCTGAAATCTGAGAATTGAGGTTCAAAGCCAGCAAGGCAGGAAAGTCTCTAAGACTTGTGTTTTTTTTTTTGTTTGTTTTTTTTTTTAGGTCTGGTCGTGGGGACTGAACTCTGAGCCTGGGCGCTGTCCCTCAGCTCTTCAGCTCAAGGCTAGCACTCTCTCACTTGAGTCACAGTGCCATTTCTGGCTTTTTTCTTTTTGCTTATGTGGTGCTGAGGAATCGAACCTAGGGCCTCAGGCATGCAAGGCAAGCACTCTACCACTCAGCCACCTTCCCAGCCCCATCTAAGACTTGTGTTTTTTGTTTTGTTTTAGTTTTTGGGTTTTTTTGGCCAGTCCTGGGGCTTGGACTAAGGGTGTAGGCACTGTCCCTGAGCTTCTTTTGCTCAAGGCTAGCTAGCACTCTATCATTTGAGCCACGGAGCCACCTTTGGCTTTTTTTTTCTGTTTATGTGGTACTGAGGAATCTAACCCAGTACATGCTAGGCAAGCACTCTACTGCTAAGTCACATTTCTGGCCCTATGAGATTTTTTTTTTTTTTTTTTTTGGTCAGTCGTGGGGCTTGAACTCTGGCCTGGGCACTGTCCCCAAGCTCTTCAGCTCAAGGACAGCACTCTACCACTTGACCCATAGCACCATTTCCAGTTTTCAGGTGGTTAATTGGCAATAAGAGTCTCACAGACTACTTTCCTGCCCAGGCTGGCTTTGAACTAAGATCCTTAGATCTCAGCCTTCTGAGCAGCTAGGATTATAGGCGTGAGCCTCTGGCGCCCAGCCCATATGAGATTCTTTTTTTTTTGTCGGTCATGGGGCTTGAACTCTGGGCCTGGGCGCTGTCCCTCAGCTCTTCAGCTCAAGGCAAGCGCTCTACCACTTGAGTTACAGCGCCACTTCCGGTTTTCTGGTGGTTTATTGGAGATAGGAGTCTCACGGTCTCTCCTGCCCGGGCTGGCTTTGAACTGTGATCCTCAGATCTCAGTCTCCTGAGTAGCTAGGATTACAGGCATGAGCCACCAGCCCCCGGCTTGAGATTCTTATCTCTAATAAATCACCAGAAAACTGGTGATTTGAGCTGTGGCTCAAAGTGGTAGAGTGCCAGCCTCAAGCAAAAGAGCTCAGAAATAGTGCCCTGGCCAAGTACAGCCCCACGACCCCCTCCAAAAAAACAAAAAACGAACAACAAAAAAAACCCTGAGTGCTGGAAGTGGCGCTGTGGCTCCAGCGGTAGAGATCTCACTTTGAGCTGAAGAGCACAGGGACAGCACCCAAGCCCAGAGTTCAAGCCGCACGACTGACAAAACAACAACAAAAACCTGAGTACAATAAAGGAGTACAGGTGTGGCTCCTTAGAGTGCAGCAGTGGTGCTCACCGAACACTAAGTTGAAAATGAACTATACAACTTGTGGGTGGGATGGAAGGGAAAAATGGGGAGAAAATGAGGGAATGGGTAACAATGTCCCAAAAGAAATGTACTCCTTACCTGGCTTACATAACTGTAACCCCTCTGTACATCATCTTTATAATAACAAATTAAAAAAAAATTTTTTTTGTTTTGTTTTGTTTTGTTTTGGGGGGGAGTCTGGTTGTGGAGCTTGAACTCTGGGCCTGGGCACTGTCCCTCGGCTCTTCAGCTCAAGGCTAGAGCTCTACCATTTGAACCACAGCGCCACTTCCGGCTTTTTTCATTTTGCTTATGTGGTGCTGAGGAATCGAACCCAGGGCATCAAGCATGTAAGGCAAGCACTCTACCACTGAGCCATCTTCCCAGCTCCTAAAAAAAAATTTTTAAAATGCCTACCTAGCAAATGAGTGGTCCTGAGTTCAAGCCTCAATACAGCTAAATGGAAAAAAAAAAAAAAGTTCACAGCCAAAATGAGACTACCGTAGACTACACAACGATTTCTAAGAGTGTTAGATCAAACTATTAGATTTCCTAACGTCTGTGCTTGACAAGAAAGTGGTTCCCCCTCTGAAAGATCTTTTGGAGTTAAACAGGTTTCCCAAAGGAATTTTGCTCAAGTTTGCACTCCACTTGCTGCCTGCTGGCCTGCCCTGAGTTTCCATCTCCCCAGCCTCCATCACACGTCAGCTTCTCAAAACCACTCCCTAGCAGGTGTGTTTACACATCCCACTGGTTTCTTTGGAGAACTTAAGACTGGTGCATTATCTTTCAAACACTGGTACCAAAATGCAGACCTTTTCTGGCAGGAATAGGGACAACGGCTAAAGAAAGGTAGAAAGAAAGGAAGAAGAAGAAAAAAAAAAAGAAAGGAAGAAGAAGGTAAAAAAGAAAAGTAGGGGCTGGGAAGGTGGCTCAGTGGTAGAGCACCTGCCTTGCATGCACAAGGCCCCCTGGGTTCGATTCCTCAGCACCACATAAAAAGAAAAAAGCCGGAAGTGGTTCTGTGGCTCAAGTGGTAGAGCGCTAGCCTTGAGCTGAAGAGCTGAGGGACAGCGCCCAGGCCCAGAGTTCAGGCCCCACAACCGGACCCAAAAGAAAAGAAAAGAAAATAGAAGGCAGGGGTGGACGTGTGACTGGCTCTCCAACAGAAAATCCCATTCTCTGCTGAAAGATCAAGTAAGTGACTCCTTCACTGTACCTCATACCTTTTCCCCAGCTTTTCTGGAAAGGCCTATAACACGGCCTTCCTTGTCCATGACCTGAATCCCTCGAATGGGCTCAAGACTTCGGGATGCAAAGACATTCATTGCACTGACTTGGGCTGTAGAGAAAGAGAACAGGAAACAGGAGATGAGTTTCAGGCCAGCAAAAGAACATCTTTTTACAAGGTCTGTCCACCTCAAGCCACTTTTACACAGCTGCTTTCTGACCTTCGGTCTCTGCCAGGGGCCCAGCAACCCAAGTTCTCTCCTTGGACTGTGGAGGCAGAACTGCGACCACTAGCCACTCAGTCTTGGATCTTGACTCCCAGATAGAATCCAGGAGAAACCCAATTGCCTTGAAATATATTCCCAATCTTTGCTTAAGATGGCTTGACCAGGTAGGTCATGACATCACTTCCCCAATTTCACCACCGACAAGGTTCTACCAACTCTTCCAACTGCCTTGATCCTCAAACCCAGGTATATGACACAGGTTATGTAAATTTTCATGCTGGCACACAAAATCTTCCGTGAACACTCAACTCACTCTGCTGTCTGATTAACTTGGTTATGATCCCTCTATTGCCACTTACCTGCTGTGTGTCCTTAAGCAAGTTATTTACCCTCCCTGTGCCTTAGTCTCTTCATTTGTAAATGGGAATATTTCCTGGAACTTGTCATTGGGATGACTAAAATGCTGCACAAGAATGGTTTGTATAGACAGACCTTTTTTTTTTTTTTTTGGTCTGTTATGCGGCTTGAACTCTGGGCTGGGGTGCTGTCCCTCAGCTCTTCAGCTCAAGGCAAGTGCTCTACCACTTGAGCCACAGAACCACTTTCAATTTTCTGGTGGTTTATTGGAGATAAGGGTCTCATGGACTTTCCTGCCTGGGCTGGCTTTGAACTGTGATCCTCAGATCTCAGCCTCCTGAGTAGCTAGGATTACAGGCGTGAGCCACCAGCGCCTGGCTGTATAGACAGACTTTAAAATGTAATTTGTGTAAAGCTGGGAATGTGGCTTAGTGGTAGCATGCTTGCCTAACATGCATGAAGCCCTGGGTTCAATACCTTAGTACCACATAAACAGAAAAACCCAGAAGTGGTGTTATGGCTCAGGTGGTAAAGTGCTAGCCTTGAGCAAAAGAAGCTCAGGGACAGTACCTACACCCTGAGTTCAAGCCCCAGGACTGGCCAAAAAAAAAAGCTTTGTGGGGTCTGAGGGTAAGCTCAGTGGTAGAGCATTTGCCCAGTATGTGTAAGGCCCTAGGTTTGATCTCTTGTATCACTTTTTTATTTTTTTTATTTTTTTGGGGGGTCCAGTCGTGGGGCCTGAACTCTGGGCCTGGGCACTGTCCCTCAGCTCTTCAGCTCAAGGCTAGCGCTTTACCACTTGAGCCACAGTGCCACTTCCGGCTTTTTTCATTTTGCTTATGAGGAATCGAACCCAGGGCCTCATACATGCAAAGCAAGCACTCTACCACTGAGCCACCTTCCCAGCCCTCTTGTATCACTTTAAAATAATAATTTCTAAGTTAGTGTTCATCCTTTGACAATTGAGAGGCATCTACGGAAAGAGGGTCACGTCTCAAGCCAAAGACACAATTTGGACCTGGGGCCCCAGGAGGCTGCACATCAACCGCTGTGAACAGTCCTGGTGTGGTCACGGCACCTGAGGTCTCAGGGGACAGAGGAGGACTCAAAGACTGAAAACAGCAGCAAACAGCATGTTCCCCGCCCTTTTTACTCACCGAAAAAGATGATGGGTAAGGCCCTTTTGATCAAAGGGTTAATCAGGGGACACTTTGTTTGAATGAAATAAGGGAACAACTAGAAAATAAAAGAGAAACATCACTGGGGTATTGAGAACAATGAGCAACAGAGCTAGCTGACTTAGTTCTCACCTCAGCTCACACTGTGGTTGGTACTCTTAGGTGCACGTGTGTGTGCGTGCGTGCGTGCATGCCTGTGTGTGTGTGTGTGTATGTATGTTGGTACTAGTGTGTGAATTAAGGGCCTGGATACTGTTCCTCTGCTCTTTTGCTTATAGCTTGTGCCCTACCAGTTGAGCTATAGCTTCACTTCTGACTTTTTGGTAGTTAGTTGGAGATAAGAGTCTCATGGTCGGGCTGGGAAGGTGGCTCAGTGGTAGAGCGCTTGCCTTGCATGCATGAGGCCCTGGGTTCAATTCCTCAGCACCACATAAGCAGAAAAAGCCAGAAGTGGCTCTGTGGCTCAAGTGGTAGAGTGCTCGCCTTGAGCTGAAGAGCTGAGGGACAGTGCCCAGGCCTAGAGTTCAGGCCCCATGACCGGACCCCCCAAAAAAAAAAGAGTCTCATGGCCTTTCCTGCCCGGGCTGGCTTTGAACCATATTCCTCAGATCTCAGCCTTCTGAATAGCTAGGATTACAGGCATGAGCCACCAGCACCCAACTACACCTGGTTTTATAGTCTGCATTTTTCACCATTGTAGTATTGTGACATGCAAAGCAAGACACAATCGACATTAGAGGTTTATTGAGTCCAGTTGTCCCTCAGTCTCTAGTAGATATTAGTGCAAGGACATCCCAGATACCAAATACCAAACTCTGCAGACTCTTGAGTTCTCTCTTATAACCTGTGCATATCTCCTATGTACCTTAAAGCATCTGTGATGATTTAAGAGTATCTAATACAATGTAAGTGGGTATGTAAGTGGTTATCATATTGCACTGTTTATATCTGTAACATGTTCAGTACAGATGTAGTGTTTTTCAAGTATCTTCTATCATCCACAATTGGCTGACTGCCCAGAAGTAGAATCTTCGAATACTAGGTCCACCTGTATGTACTTGGAAACTCAGGACTCATAGTGTGACTATTTTGAGTGAAATGCTTATAGGTTGATTTAAATGCTTATAGGTTGACTCATATGTTCTAAGTTGCTTAGGTTAACACATACATTTATAAACAGAATAAAGCTTTATCAATTTTGAGGAAGAGAAAGGATCTAATAGGTAATAAAAACCTACTCCAAGGAAGGCTGAAGAACTGAATGCTCCCGTTCCTAACACCACTTGCTCTGCCCCATGTCGCCTCTACGGGAAAAATCAAAGTACACTATTAGTAGTTTCTGCCCTGCAAAGATAACTAACAACAACAAACAAGCAAGCAAACAAAACACAACAGTGGGGTGCTGGTGGCTCATGCCTATAATCCTAGCTACTCAGGAAGCTAAGATCTGAGGATCCAGGCAGGAAAGTCTGTGAGACTCTTATCACCATTGAACCATCAATAAGTCAGAAGTGAAGCTGTGGCTTAAGTGGTAGAGTGCTAGCTTTAAGTGAAAAAGCCAAGAGAGAACACAAGGTCCTGAGTTCAAGACCCACTACCAGCACATGCACACATACACAAATCCTAAATCCAACATAACCCCAAATCACACCCTGCCTGGGTTCAGTAAGAACTCACATAGCTGGAGTTGCCATTGATGATGGTGAAAGCTGTTGTGTAGGCATAAAAGGAAACCTGCAGGGCATGAGGCAAGTGGATCACGCTATAGTTTTGTGGTTTCAAGCTCCACAGAACCCAGTGATCACGTAAATGAAAGAACCCTTACCTGAGGGACAAGTATGGACATAATTCCTTTTGCTGGCATCATTGACAAAAACAGCTTTTCAGAAGAAAGCAAGAGTAAAATTACAGGAGCAAAAACATTTTCTAGGGGAGACTTAGTGCTAGGGCAGGAGAGTAAGGCGGGGGCCAAGCCTATGTTCAGTGAGCAATTAGTTGGTCCTCAACTAGTGGCTCCAAGGATATCCAGGAGCCTCCAGCAGGCCATCCGGGAAGCATGCACTTGCCAAGAGAGCTAAACAGGGGCACGTGTAGAAGAAGGGATGGTCTGTAATGTGATACAAACAAAAACAGAAATACCACCAGGTGCATAGTGTTCCTGCAGGGCAGTTCCCAGCGCTGGGTGACGAACTACGTTGGGGGAGGATCTGGGGAAAGCAAGCACTATAGACCCGGATGTCTTTCCAAAGGCCTTCGCTGCAGCTGAATGTGTGAAGGCATGGTCCTGAGGTGACACTGGGAGGTGAAGGAAACGCTGGGAGGTCTTCGGGCCAGTGGGTCATGACCTTCCCCTTTCTTTCGCTGCCTGGGTGCCCTAAGGGAGGCAGTTTTGCTCCCCGACACTCTCCCACCACAAGGTGCTGTCTTGCTACCAGCCCAAGGGGACGACCTAACCATGGCCCCACAGCCTCTGAAGCCAGGAGCCGACATAAACCTTTTCTTTGAATAAGTTGATGACCTCAGGCATTTGTGACAGTAAGCTGGAAGGGGCAATCCCACAGGGCACTCGTCTCCTCTACAGGGCGTCCTGTGTGGCACAGGGAAGCTCAAGGCCCAGCTAGAGAAGGGATAGAGGGACCAGGGTCACAGCAGAGTCCATCTAGCTGGCCATCCTGAGACAGGGAGGGACCCAGAGTTGGAGGGACCCAGCTGAGGTAGGGAGATGGGCAGACCTCTTCCCAAATCTGATGCGAGTGGCAGCTTACTCACCATGGGTGCCGTCAAGGGCAGGAAAGCTGGAAGGAGAGCAGAGCAGAGCAGAGTCAGTGAGGCGGGCCGCCCGAGGAGATCAGGCCTAAAGGGGCATCACCTAGTGACTTCCCGAGGGCACAGAACTGAAGGAGACCTTGCTTATCTTTTTTCACTAGGAAAAATAGTAACTATATGCACATGGCACAAAATGAAAACTGCCCAATACAGAAAGATCTAACCAGGAGATAACCACCAGCCTGGTCAGAGCTCTCCCTGAAGGGAAGCAGGGTCAACTGTTACTAACCCATCCTTCCAGATAAAGTTTTCTTTTTCTTTTTCTGGTACTGGGGCTTGAATTCTGCCTGCACCCTCACTTGACTTCTTTTTGCTCAAAGTTGGTGCTCTACACCTTGAGTTACACCTCCAGCTTTCTGCAGGTTAGTTGGAGATAGTCTCCACACTTTTCTGCCCAGGCTGGTTTGAATCTTCATCCTCAGCTCTCAGTCTCCTGAGTAGCTAAGAGTATACCCATGAGCCACTAGCAACCAGCTTCTTTTTTCTTTCCTCGTTTTTTTTTTTTTTTTTTGGGGGGGTGCTCACTTGCTGGATAGGTGCTCTTATCATTTAAGCCATGCCCCTAGCCCTTCTCACTTGGTTATTTTCAGCTAAGGTCTCATGTTTTTCTTAGGTGCCAGCCTCGAGTGTCACCCTTTTAACTACGACCTCCTATGTAACTGAGATGACAGGCACATGTCACCCCCCCTCAGCCGTTGAGATTTGTAAACTTAATAAACTATTCCCTTATTCACTTTCTTTTTTTTTTGGTCAGTTGTGAAGCCTGAACTCTGGGCCTGGGTGCAGTCCCTCAGCAATTCAGCTTAAGGCTTGCACTCTACCATGTGAGACACAGCGCCACTTCTGGGTTTTTCTGCTTATGTGGTGCTGAGGAATCGAACCCAGGGCCTCATGCATGCAAGGTAAGCACTCTACCACTGAGCCACCTTCCCAGCCCACTCCAGATCACTTTCTAAGTAGTGTCCCAATCACCTTCTAAGTAGCCGGGACTAGCAGCATGGCTACAGATGAAGTGCTCAAGATCTCCATGACAACTCCGATTCTTTCTCACACATAGCTACAGAGTTACCACGCAACCACAGTCACTATACACAGTCCCAGGCTTTATCTTTCCCTCTTTTTTTCTTTTTGTTGGTCATGGGGCTTGAACTCTGGGCCTGGGCTCTGTCCCTGAGCTCTTCAGCTCAAGGATAGCACTCTACCACTTGAGCCACAGCGCCACTTCCATACCTTTCCCTCTTAACACTAACTCCTGCACTTAACCTTAATCTTTCTCATGAATTGTTGAAGAAGAACCTAAATGGTTGGATATTTATTTCCCATTTATGGCTTATAATTCTATGGATCACGGATGCTGCTCCCATCATCTTAGTGAATGCCATGGAAGTCAGAGCAAGAAACTATGCAGTATCCATAACACATGCAGCACTCACGAGCTGCCAGGTCTAAACCATGAGATACCATCACCAACCTGACAGAATAGGGCAGGTTCCCCCACAGGCCTGGTTCCTGCTGCCCAAAGCCCAGATCTTTCCACAGTAATGGACTCAGCTCTGGGCCTAGAGCCTGCTCTTTGCTATCAACTCAACAACCTTCAAGAATTCTTTTTAAGGCGTGACTTCCAGACTGTGTCCACAGAAACCCTTCAAGGACTGGGTGGGCAATAGAACAATGAAAAAAAGCAATTCTCTGCTTGCAGCCAGGTTTTCCCAACCCACTTCTGCACTCAGCACCAGCTCACCTGCTGGCCGGAAGAACGCAGGGATCAGCCTGCTGCTGTCAGGGTGCACGGTCGACTTCAAAGGACAGATAAAAAAGTTAGCTGCATGATTGCTTTTATTATTTTATGAGGCTAAAAATTAGGAAGGGGCTGAAACTTACAAGACTCCTCTTCCATGCTTCTTTAATCTAAAAAGAGGAAAAACAAACAGATTTTAAAGATAGTTCAGTAGTAAAAGTCTCCTGGCCAATCTCTTTCCTTTCCCTATCCCCTCCTTCTCCTTTCCTCCTCCTCCCCCCCCCTCCTCCCCACCCCTCCCCTCCCTGCCCAACCTCTGTGAAACACTGCTTCAGGGGCTTCATCTCAGAGCCTTGCACTCTGGCTCAGCCTTTTCACTCACAAATGGCTCTACCCCTGGAGCTACTCCTCCTGGCATTTTTGCTGGTCAGAAAGCTGAGATCTGTAGATCTTAGTTTGAAGCCAGCCTAGACACACAGATCTGAGAGATTCTAATTTCCAATTAACTAGCAAAAAGCTGGAACTGGGACTCAAATGCTAGCACACTAGTCATGAGTGAGTGAGCATACAAGGCCCTGAGTTCCAGACCTAGTACCAAAATAAATGAATAAAACAAAACTTTATTAGCATAAATTATATAAAAAGTTATATTTATAAACAAGAATATAATGTAGCTTAATCAAATTCACCCATCTATATTACTCTTAACTCTTCTCCCTCCTTTTTACCGAGTGTAATGGGTTTCATTATGCTTTCATACATATGTATATTTTTATAGTATCTACTACCCCAACCCCTCTACCTTCCCCCTCCCGCTCCCTCTCATCCCTCTCCACAGGACCCTTTTCACAGTCAGTTCACATCATTATTATTATGAAACTCTAGATTCTACATAAGAGCAAAAACATGTGGAATCTGTTTTCCTGAGCTTATCTAAACACTATTATCTGTAGTTCTATTTTTCCTACAAATGAGAAATAATATCGTCAAATAAAATGCTATATATATGCAGGGCATTTTATTTTCCAATCCTTAGTAGTAGGACTAGGCTGATTCCACAGCTTGGCTATCATGACTACTTCTATAAGAAACATGGGATTGAGTTATCTCTATTGTATGTTGACTTATAATCCTTCAGATACATGCCTAGGAGTGGTTAAGAAGGGCCACAGAGTAGATCTATTTTATTTTAGTTTTGTGTGTGTGTATGTGTGTATGAGTGCTGGTCCTTGAACTCTGGGTCTGGGTGCTGTCTTTGGATTTTTTTTTTTTTTTTTTGGGGTCCGGTCATGGGGCCTGAACTCTGGGTCTGGGCACTGTCCCTCAGCTCTTCAGCTCAAGGCGAGCGCTCTACCACTTGAGCCACAGTACCACTTCCGGCTTTTTTCTTATGTGGTGCTGAGGAATCAAACCCAGGGCCTCAGGCATGCAAAGCAAGCGCTCTACCACTGAGCCACCTTCCCAGCCCTGGATTTTTTTTTTAATTTTAATTTTTTGCTCAGGGCTAGTACTCTACTACTTGAGCTACAGCTCCAGTTCTGGCTTTTTACTGCTTAACTGGAGATACAGTCTCATGGACATTCCTATATAGGCTTGCTTCAAATCGTGAACTTTAGATTTCAACCTCCTAAGTTAGGATTACAGGCATGAGCCACCAGCGCCCAGCTTAATTTAAGTTTTCTGAGAAAGCTCCATACTGGTTGCCATAGTGGCTACACTAATTTACATGACCACTGAGCAGTCTTACTTCTGATGACACCTTTGCCTCGCCAGGAAGACAGGGAAGACCATAGGTATTTTCTACTACGTGGAAGGAACAAATCAAAAAAAGGACCAAACAAACAAATGCACTAATGATAAGATATGATCCTTATAAAGAAACTACCCAGAATGTTAAAAACTCCTATGTAAACATGGAATGGACCAAAAGCTAATTTATCTTTTAAGTAAATCCAGAAGCCAGCTTGTCCCTTGGCTCAGAGCAGCTCAGGCTGGCTGCATTCGGAGTTCACTCTGCACCATTAACCACATCATTTGTAACAGAGTCGAAGTGTCAGCCCCGAGGCCACAAGAAGTTCTTAGAAAAACCAAGTTAAATATGTGAACTTGCCATGGGCTCCCCGGAGGGACTGATGTTTGTGAGCTCTGGAAATCTCCCTCTGCTGCAGGCTAAGTAACAAAATATTTGGTTTGAGCCCACAGGCAAGAATATAATCCTGCCCCAGAACACTGCCTGTGATGGAAAACAGAGTCTGACTTCAGAGGGCCTGCCTGAATTCTGGAGTTTACCATGAGGTTTCAGGAATCAGCTACAAAGAATCTCACTAATATGCACTATATAGGAAGAACAGTTTTCTTGCTGGTTTATGTGACAGAATTCTAACTGCACCTAAAAAAACAAACCCAGGAAGTGGAACTGTAGCTCAAGTGGTAGAGCGCTAGCTGAGGGACAGCGCCCAGGCCCAGAGTTCAAGCCTCACGACCGACAAAAAAAGCAACACAAGCCGGGCATTGGTGGCTCACGCATGTAATCCTAGCTACACAGGAGGCTGAGATCTGAGGATTGCGGTTCAAAGCCAGCCCGGGCAGAAAAGTCTGTGAGACTCTGATCTCCAATAAACCACTAGAAAACTGGAAATGGCGCTGTGGCTCAAGAGGTAGAGTGCTCGGCTTGAGCTAAAGAGTGCAGGGACACTGGGCTGGGAAGGTGGCTCAGTGGTAGAGCACTTGCCTTGCATACATGAGGCCCTGGGTTCGATTCCTCAGCACCACATAAGAAAAAAAAGCCGGAAGTGGCGCTATGGCTCAAGTGGTAGAGTGCTAGCCTTGAGCTGAAGAGCTGAGGGACAGTGCCCAGGCCCAGAGTTCAGGCCTCATGACCGGACCCAAAAAAAAAAAAAAAAAAGAGTGCAGGGACAGCACCCAGGCCCAGAGTTCAAGCCCCACAACCGATCAAAAACAACAACAACAACAACAAACAAAAACAGTTTTATAAGATGTTCCCCTCTGCAGTGTGTCTGTCCAATGACAGGATTAATAGCCAAAGTACCACTTGATTTCACTCCACGCCAAGTAAAACCAACTGAAGGTAACTTCAGCCAGCCTGGAACCTTGCATATCTGTGCACATCTGCACTCAGGAGACATACCCTTTGGTCATTCAGGTTGTGTCTGGCTGCATCTTCATTGGTGAACAATAGTTGCCTTGATTTTTCTATTCTTTCCTATAATCAAATACGGAGAAATAAAGCAACAGTCAGCATTTTTCAGATTTGTGCACGCATTTAAGAATCACAAGTCAGTCTCCCAAACACATTACCGCAACTGTAAAGCTGATTTCAAGGCTCTCCACTCCCTGAGGACAGCCCCAAGTGTTACACAGATTCTCCAGTGTCCTAGATTCTTCCAGCTCTACTGTGGCTGCTATCCCTTCAGGTCTCAGACATCAACTGCCTCCCTGGTGGCACAAGTCAGAATCCCAGAAATTCCTGCATCTCCCTCATGTCCATGGCTAATCAGTTCAGTTCATGTTTCCTCTCTCTTTTGCTTTCTTGTTTTTGTTTTTCGGTTGGTCATGGGGCTTGAACTCTGGGCCTGGGCGCTGTCCCTCAGCTCTTCAGCTCAAGGAGAGCACTCTACTACTTGAGATACAGTAGCACCACTTCCTGTTTTCTGGTGGTTCACTGGCAATAAGAGTCTCACGGACTTTCCTGCCAGAGCTGGCTTTGAACCAAGATCCTCAGATCTCAGCCTCCTGAATAGCTAGGATTACAAGTGTGAGCTACCAGAGCCCAGCTTCCTTTTCTTAATGTGAGAGAAAAATACATATATACAGAACTAAAATAACCTCAACCAGAATTAGTAACTGTGAACATCTGGATATACTTGCTTCTAATTTTGCTTTTCAGAAGGAACTATTACCCGGTCTCATCCCTTTCCCATCCTACCAAAGCGACATCAATCCTCACCTCTATGTTTCTCCATTGAGCATCGCATTTCCATTAATTGCTTGTAACTAGTTCATACTTCTAGTGCTACTCAACACTCCACTGTATATCATTTTATCTATTTTGCTGCTCATTAGCACTGGGTTGTTTCCTACTTTTTATGAGTAACATAACTGTAAGGAACATCTTGAGGGAAAGAAGGATGTAGCCCTTAGACTCTGGTCCTAAAGGGTTTTTAGTGGTCAAAGAGCAGCTCCTCTTCACCCCTTACCACACTGACTCAAATCCTCTTCCTTCACTGGGACAACTGAGCCACCCCCAAATGAATGGCTTGCCAAATGCAGCTGGTCACTCGGCATACGACTACCAAAAAACCCTTTGACACACAAACCTCAGCAGATGACACTGCTCTCTTGGTGAAGAACTGGACCTTAGCCAGGCGCTGGTGGCTCACGCCTATAATCCTAGCTACTCAGGAGGCTGAGATCTGAGGATCACGGTTCAAAGCCAGCCCAGGCAGGAAAGTCTATGAGACTCTTATCTCCAGTAAAACCACCAGAAAACTGGAAGTGGCGCTGTGGCTTAAGCAGTAGAGCACTCGCCATGAGCTGAAGAGCTTGAGGGACAGTGCCCAAGCCCAGAGTTCAAGCCCCACGACCAACAACAACAACAACCACAAAAAAAGAACTGGACCTTCAAGATCTCCCTGGTTCCCTGCACTAAACCAACTGACCAATTGAGGGCTCACTTTCTCACACCTGCTCTGTTTACTCAATTCCCTTTAGGGCCTTAGTTAAAGTTATTTGCCATACGCCCTGTTATAAGGCTTTTTGGAGGCAGTACTGGGTTCGAACTCAGGGTCTCACACTTGCTAAGCAGGTTCTCAACCACCTGAATCATATCCTCAGCTCTTTTTTGCCTTATTTCCAGGTAGGGTTAATATGCTTTTGTTCAGGCTAGCCTGGATTTCTTTCATTCTATTAGACCTTCTGCATAGCTGGGATGAGAGGCATATACCACCACACCCGGTTTTTGTCGTTGAGATGAGTACCAATAACTTCTACCAGGGCTATCTTGAACTGTGATCATTCTGATCTTTAACTTTCAAGTAGCTTGAATTCAGGTATAAGCCAATATCCCTGACATTTGCTTTTTATTTTTTTTTATTTTTTTGTCGGTTGTAGGGCTTGAACTCTGGGCCTGAGCGCTGTCCCTCAGCTCTTCAGCTCAAGGCGAGCACTCTACTGCTTGAGCCATAGTACCACTTCCAGTTTTCTAGTGGTTTATTGGAGATAAGAGTCTCACAGACTTTCCTGCCCGGACTGGCTTTGAACTGTGATCCTCAGATCTCAGCCTCCTGAGTAGCTAGGATTACAGGCATGAGCCACCAGCGCCTGACTTTTTTTTTTTTTTTTAAACCAGTCCTAGGCACTGTTCCTGAGTTTTTTTTACTCAAGGATAGCATTCTACCACTTGTGCCACAGTGTCATTTCTGGCTTTTTCTGTTTATATGGTACTGAGGAATTGAACCTAGGGATTCATGCATGCTAGGCAAGTACTCTACCACTAAGCCACATTCCCCGTCCTTTGCTTTTGTTTTGAAACAGTCCAGTCTTAGAAGTTGCTTTCTGCTTCTACCTCCCAAATGCTGAGATTATAGATATACACCACCTTGCCCAGTTGAAGAATTGGTTTTTATTCTCTTTAAGTCACAAGCACCTAGACTAGGCCTGGTACATGGGTGTGTGCACACATACAGACCATGTGTGCAAACATACATGCATACATGCATGCGCGTGTGCACATGCACACATACACACACACACACACACACACCTCTCTACAAACACGTATTTTTATCTGGTCATGGGGCCTGAATTCTGGGCTTGGGCACTGTCCCTCAGTTCTTCAACTCAAGGCTAGCGCTCTACCACTTGAGCCACAGAGCCATTTCCAGCTTTTTCTGCTTATGTGGTGCTGAGGAATCGAACCCAGGGCCTCATGCATGGAAGGCAAGCACTCTACCACTGAGCCACCTTCCCAGTCCCTTATGTCACCCTTCTAACCTAACATGCTCAATCAAAAAGAATAAAAACACATAATTTCATAAACTCTGTTATTTCAACTACTTTCAAAAGAGGAACACAATCTCCAAGTTTCAATATAAAATGGTGAAATTATCTCTGAAAACAAGAAAATACTTACAATTGAAATGAGCAGATTTGTAGGATCCAATAATTCTGTCCAGCGAAGAAATCTTTGAACAAAAGACTAAAGTAGGAGAAAAGCACCAGAGAAATTAATAAAAACAAGACACACAGCAGAAGTAGCAATTCACTTTATTCACCTTCATTTCTAGCTTTGAACTGCAATCCTCAGTTCTCAGCCTCCAGAGTAGCTGGGATTACAGGCATGAGCCACCTGCACCCAGCTCTTAGAATCTTTTCAACAAAGTGTGTGTGTGCGTGAGTGCATGCGTGTGCGCGCACATACAAATCCTGGGGTCTGAACTCAGGGCCTGGGTAGTTTCCCTAAGTTTTTTTTTTTTTTTTTTTTTTTTTAGCTCAAGGCCAGCACTCTACTTGAGCCACAGCTCTATTTCTGGTTTTTTGATGTTTAAAAGATAAAAATCTCAAGGACTTTCCTACCTGGGCTGGCTTCAAACATTGGTTCTCATATCTCAACTTCCATGGTAGCAAGGACACAAGTGTGGGCTATCAGCAGTTGGCTTTCAGCACACTCATCTTGCAGGTAAAGGAAGCTGAGGTGAGAAGGTCCTGAGAGAGCTCCAGGGGTTCTGGCTGTGTCAGGAACCTCTCATTATCAACTGGCCGTGAGGGTTGTAGGTTCAAAGTGCCTCTATTCATATTACTTGAAGCAAAGAACTCCAAAAACCTCAGAATATTTCCTGGCTTTCAGAGCTAGTTAACACTAATAACTAAGGGTAGACACACCAGTAAGATCTCAGTACTATAGTCCAGCCTGGTTTGTCTCAAGAAGCCCTCTACCCCCACACACACTTAAGCTGCCCATCTCAACATCCCACCCTTCAAAACGACCCTACCTAAGTCATGATCTTCAAAAGAATACTAGAACTGTGCTGGTTGGCTGGTCCCAAGTAGCTGAGCTGTGAAATGGAGTCAGAGTGAGTTGGGCTTGATGCAGGGCTATCACATACGTGGTCCACAAAGAATATAGCAAAAGTAGGTGAAATCATCTCATTTGTTTTTTAGGTTATATGTTGAAATATTACTATTTTGCAACTGCTAGGCTAAACAACGTATTATTAAAATTAACATAGCATTATCAGTTATTTCTTCCTGCCATTTGTGTGTGTGTGTGTGTGTGTGTGTGTGTGTGTGTGTGTGTGTGTGTGCCAGTCATGAGGCTTGAACTCAAGGCCTGGACTCAGCCTCTAAGCTTTTGGTGCTCAGGGTCAGTGCTCTACCACGTTAAGCCACAGCTTCACTTCCAGCTTCCTGATGGTTAACTGGAGATAAGTCTCACAGACTTTCCTGCCCGTGCAGGGTTTTGAACCGTGATCCTCAGATCTCAGCCTCGTGATTCGCTAGGATTACAAGCGTGAGCCACCGGCCTAGGGTTTTACTCATCATTTTGCTGGTACCCAGGGCGCTGCTGGAGGGAGGCCGGAGGGGTCTGGCCGAGTGTCAGTGAGCTTTCCGGGGAGGGAGGCCCGAGCTCCGGGGAGGCCCGCTTCACCCCCACGTGCTGCTCAGCAGAGGCTCGGGCGGAGATCGCCGGGAGGTCGGGCCTCCTTCAGGCCCCCTGAAGGGTGACCTTGGGGAGACCCTCCCCAGCCCAGTCCCGGGCCTAAGCGATGCTCTCGGCTGCAGCCGCGCCCTCCGCAATCTTGGTCCGCTCCAGAGGTGGAAGGGCGAGGAAGGCGCACTCCCGAGCCCCTCTGGGAGGAGGAATCGGCAGCCACGGGCAGCCACGTGGCCTGCCAAGGTCACCCGGGCCAGCCTGACCCCACGCGCCGCGCGCGCGCCCTCCCCGCCCCCCGCCGCGCCGGCCCACGCGTACTTGGCGTTCCCAGATGCCGAAGCGCAGGTTGGGCTCCATGCGGGCGACGGCGCCGCGGCAGGCTGGGGGCCACCGGCCCCGCACTTCCTCCTCCTCTTCCGGGTGCCTAAGTGACGGCCGCGGAAGCCGTAGCCACCCCCGCGGGGCCTGGAAAAGAAGCCAGGCAATCCGCCCCACGCCGCCGGTGCGGCCGGCTCGTGCGCCTCGGCTCCGGCCCGCCCTGCGGCCGCCCTAGGTGGCCGCGCGCCTGCGCCAGGGCTCCGTAGGCCCCGCCCCGGGCTCTAAGTCCCAGCCCCCAGACTCCGAAGACCCCGCCCCCGAGACACCAATCCCCGCCCCCTCCGTATCCTGGTCCTCACCGTCGTCTCCCATGAGCGCCCAGATCCTGTAGCCCATCTCCCCCATGGGCGCAGTCCTCCCAACCCCATTCCCAGCTGCTCTGGAGTCTGGAGCCTCCAGGCCCAGGGGATTTCCTTGTCACAGAGCTACTGCAAAGACCCTGTAAGCAGCGTGTGGGACCCTCCATACTTCACCCGGACCTTGCACCTTCTCATCAGACTTTCAGGGCACACCAAGCTTTTGGGCATTATGCTTGAAGGCTCAAAGTGACACTGCCTCAAGTGGTAGAGTGCTAGCCTTGAGCAAAAGCAGCTCAGGGACAGTGCCCAGGCCCTGGGTTCAAGTCCCAGGACTGGCAAAAATAAAAACAATGTACACGTAGGTACCAGTGGCTCACACCTGTAATCCTAGCCACTCAAGAGGGTGAGATCTGGGGATCACAGTTCAAAGCCAGCTTGGGCAGGAAAGTCCGTGAGACTTACCTCCAATTAACCACCAGAACACTGGATGTGGCCCTGTGGTATAAAGTGATAGACCACTATAGCCTTGAGCAGAAGAGCTCAGGAAGTGTCCAGGCTCAGAGTTCAAGCCCCATGACCGACAAAAAAAAAACAAACCAATGTAAGGGCTGGGAATATAGCTTACTGGTAGAGTGCTTGCCTAGCATGCATGAAGCCCTGGGTTCGATTCCTCAGTGCTGCATAAAGTAGAAAAAGCCGCAAGTGATGCTGTGGCTCAAATAGAACGCTAGTCTGAAGCAAAAGAAAAAGCAGCTGAGGGACAGTGCCCAGGCCCTGAGTTCAAGCCAAGGTAAACAACAACAAAAAAATGTATATGGTTTTGGGTAAAGTCAGAGCCATAATTTGCAAGACCCATGGGAAAGGAGAGCACAACACTCCTTATTTAGAAATTATTGAGAATTTTTAAAAGAACATTAAACTAAGTTTGCTGTTTGCCTTGACAGCTGCACTGTGTTGTGTGCCACCTATCAGCCAGACGCTTTTTGTTGGATTTTCTTCTCCCCTCTCCTTTGTTGAATACTAGATCAATTGGGGGACATTTGTAGAGAAAAACAGGCCTTCCATCCCATGCCTTCAACATCCAGGTGCCAGCACTCAGTAATTTACTCAACTATTTCCCTATCTGATTGCTCTATAGACTGACTTTCCTGGGTGGAGGCAGCATCTGTGTAAATGCCCACAAAGTGTGGATGGAATCAGAGAAAAGCGGAGCCTAGATCAAGCTGACTCAATAACTAATGACATGAAAAATTCAAGTATTTTAAAGTATGTTTATTTTATATTTTACATCAAGCACTTGAATCAAAATTCAATCTCTGGATTTAATATAGATCCTTTATAATTACATCTAATCATTATTTGAAAATACACACTGAACTAAGTCAGCTAGTGAATAAAATAACTGTAAACTAGAAACCTCAGGGACAGGGTCATGCATGATCAATTAAGTCACGTTTCCACCGTGTTTTAGTCTCAATTCACATTTGTTTCCATCACACAGACATCCATTTTGAGTTAGCTTGGACAGCAGAGCCTAATAACATAAAGCTATGTTGTCTTAAAGGAAATTCAGTTTAATACAAAGAACTTCAAGAAGAAAAATCAGGACTCTTGATCAGAAGCCTTCCGTACTTGGGTTACTTTGGAGCAACGAAAGTCTGGAAGGCTAAGGAGGAAGTGTTTTCTTTGCCCACTGAAGACATGATCAATAAGGACATTGCCAATAAAGGACTTCTGTTGGCTACTAACTACTTTTTCCAGTGTTACAAAAAAGAAAACATTAAGAATGATATCTCTCCAGGAAATGGAAACAAGAGGGGTTTCTTTGTTAAAGAGAAATAAAGAGTAGTATCTATAAATACAAGCATGATTGGGTTTTTCCTTCTATAAATAATCTTTGAAATGCAAAAAGGGCGCCAGCTGAGGTTGTTTTCTGTAGTGAAGGTTCAGGTGCACACAGATCATCTACTGATGGACCTTCTCGAAGTATTCTTTGGAAGCTGTTGGACTTGGCTTGATCTGAAAGTATAAAGCCAATTAATTAGATAATGGTGACTTTGTAATAACAGTTTCAAAAGTAAGTTAAAAGCTCCCAATTTTGCACTAAAGCTCCTTCTTAGACTGGTCTGTTTCCTTCTAAATATATGGAGGGAAATTATTCCATACATAGTCTGAATCATCCTATAGCCCACCCCTGACCCACAGCCTCACCCCATGGGTACTATCTACACTCTTGCTTCAAGATGGGCTTTCTTGGTAGAAGAGAAGACCTGTGACCCTCTACTGGATTCCCACTGCTTTTTTTTTTGTCAGTCTTGGGGCTTGAACTCTGGGCTTGGGCACTGTCCCTGCGCTCTTCAGCTCAAGGCGAGCGCTCTACTGCTTAAGCCACAGCGCCACTTCCGGTTTTCTAGTGGTTTATTGGAGATAAGAGTCTCACAGACTTTCCTGCCCAGGCTGGCTTTGAACCGCGATCCTCAGATCTCAGCCTCCTGAGTAGCTAGGATTACAGGCGTGAGGCACTGGCGCCCGGCTTCCCACAGCTTTTGAGAGAACTTACAGTAGGAGAATCTGGTGTCCAGTTTGCTGGGCAGACTTCTCCATGGGTTTCCACAAACTGGAACGCCTTCACCAAGCGGAGGGTCTCTTCCACGCTCCGGCCCACTGGCAGGTCATTGACACTCAGATGCTTGATGACTCCATTGGGGTCAATTATGAAGAGACCTCTGTGTCAGATTTATCCTCATTAGTACATCAACAGCACTGGATGTTGTAACAAGTCAACACATACCCTTCTGCTTTTGGTTCTTTTTCTAATAAAGCAATTATTAAGTTAAGCCTTTATAAACTGGAGGCATGGCTCAAGTGTAGGGCCCCAGCCTTGAGTACAAAAGCCAAAAATGGAGTTTTCACTGTTGTACAAAAGCTCACCATCTCTCATTAATGACAGATGTTTTAATAATGGCATGACTAAACTAGGTCACTACAGAAAACATAAAATATGGTCACATGTGTAAATTCACCAATGTGCTCCAAATGTCACATATTATCTGAAAGACAATGAATTCAAGAGTAAGACTTCTTAGCAGTGATTTGGCAAGCATTCTTTGGACTGTTGTATCAAATCTGGGCAAGAAATTCTACACAAATGAGAAGGGATGTGGATATATCTTTTTTTTTTTTTTGGGTCCGGTCGTGGGGCCTGAACTCTGGGCCTGGGCGCTGTCCCTCAGCTCTTCAGCTCAAGGCTAGCGCTCTACCACTAGAGCCACAGCGCCACTTCCGGCTTTTTTCTTTTTGCTCATGTGGTGCTGAGGAATCAAACCCAGGGCCTCATGCATGCAAGGCAAGCACTCTACCACTGAGCCACCTTCCCAGCCCGGATATATCTTATTGTAAGCAATAAATATTTATTAAATGAATAGTGTTGATGGGAGGAAACCTTGGGAAAATGTTTGAAGAGAATATGCTGGTCCTGACTTCATGTAATAGATGCCTGGGTTCATGCAATAGCAGCAATCATCTAAGATGACCTCCTCCTCCTAAGACTGATGGTGCAGCTGTTACTTAGACACCAATACACCAATAGGAACCTTTAACCCAGAGCTTTTGTTTTTTTGTTTTCCAGTGCATTCTCAGCCATGCTGCTTTACTGCTAAAAGCTCGTGCGCACAGACACACACACACACCCTGACACACATACAACACACAGAGGTGCACTTTCCAAACTCATACAACAGTTACTTTTTTTTTTTTTTTTTTTTTTTTTTTTTATTGTAAAGCTACTATACAGAGGGTTACAGTTACATGAGTGAGGTTATGAGTACACTTCCTCTTGAACATTGTTACCCCCTCCATTGTTTTCCCCCTACCATCCCCTCCCTCCCTCCCTTCCCCGAGGTTCTTTTTTTTTTTTGATTGTGATTAAATGATTACATAATTTCAAAGTCACAAGTTCATTCTAACTTCCCTGGAGCAAATTGTCTACCACAGTCTGTAATATATAACAGTGTTCACATGTTATATACCATATTTGTGATCAGCAGCATGAGGATATTTAGTAGTGGTTCAACCAGATGAGCGGGAGTTCTTTGTTTCTTAAGTCCTGTTAGTTTTGTCGTATCACCTAACCTTTTGGATTTAGCATCCACTTATGAGGGAGACCATGTACCGTTTGTCTCTTCGTTCTTGGCTTACCTCGCTCAACATGATTCCTTCTAGCTCCATCCATTTCCCTGCAAATGCCATTATTTTGTCATTTCTAATGGCTGCATAATATTCCATTGTGTATAGATACCACAATTTTTGGATCCATTCATCTGTGGTGGGGCACCTAGGTTGTTTCCATATCCTAGCTATTGCGAACAGTGCTGCAATAAACATGGAGGTGCATGTGTCCTTGTATATTGGTTCCTGTTGTTCAGGGTAGATGCCTAGAAGTGGTATGACTGGGTCGTAAGGGAGGTCAATCTTTAGCTTTCTAAGGACCCTCCAGACTGCTTTCCAAAGTGGTTGTATAAGTGTACATTCCCACCAGCAGTGTAATAGGGTTCCTCTTTCTCCACATCCCCTCCAGCATTTGTCGTTGGCTGATTTGTGGATGTGGGACATTCTGACTGGGGTAAGGTGGTATCTCAGGGTTGTCTTTATTTGCATTTCCTTCACCACCAGGGATGATGAACATTTCCTCATGTGTTTCTTTGCCATTTTTATTTCTTCATTTGAGAAGTCCCTCTTTAGTTCCCTTGCCCATTTAGTAATTGGTTTGTTAGGTTTGGGAGGGATTAGTTTCTTGAGTTCCCTGTATATACAGGATGTTAACCCCTTGTCTGATATATTGCTGGTAAATATTTTTTCCCAATTAGTTGGTTGTCTTTCTAGCTTAGTTGCGATAGATTTAGCTGTGCAGAAGCTTTTTATTTTAAGGTAGTCCCATTTGTCGAGTCTCTCTCCAACTTGTTGTGACCCTGGGACTCTGTTCAGGACAACAGTTACTTTTTACATCAAGGAATAAAATTTCTTCTTCAAAATGCTCGATAATGCATAGATTAAAAAAGCAAGTTGCCTTCTGTAAAACTTTACACATAACCAATAACATTTATTTACTATTATTTTCGGAGAACACGTAGACAGTAAGCAATTCTGAACTTAAAGGAGAGTAAATTAAATCTTTGTGAGGCTGGGAAGGTGGCTCAGTGGTAGAGCGCTTGCCTTGCATGCTCAAGGCCCTGGGTTTGATTCCTCAGCACCACATAAGCAAAAAGAAAAAAGCCGAAGTGGCGCTGTGGCTCAAGTGGTAGAGCGCTAGCCTTGAACTGAAGAGCTGAGGGACAGCGCCCAGGCCCAGAGTTCAGGCCCCACAACCGGACCCCTCCCAAAACAAACAAACAAAAAAGCCTTTGTGAAAGATACTCCAATATTAATCCTTTTAATTACAGAGAAGTGACTTTTTTTTCTCTCTCAAAACTAGAACTGTTATTTAAAGACAAAGTACCACCAGAATTCCTGTCTCAACTCAGGGAGGGCCAACGTTGGGATCAAACCTAGTGCTACGTAGGTGGTAGGCAGGGGCTCCACCAGCGCTACATCCCCAGGGCAAATATTTTAATCGGTGGGCTGGGAAGGTGGCTCAGTGGTAGAGCGCTTGCCTTGCATGCATGAGGCCCTGGGTTCGATTCCTCAGCACCACATAAGCAAAAAGAAAAAAAGCCGGAAGTGGCGCTGTGGCTCAAGTGGTAGAGCGCTAGCCTTGAGCTGTAGAGCTGATGGACAGCGCCCAGGCCCAGAGTTCAGGCTCCACGACCAGACCCCAAAAAGAAAAAAAAAAATATTTTAATCAGTGACAACATACTGCCAACAAAGGAGACAGTATGTTTTCAAAATAATCTGTAACAAAGCAGTGGTAGAGACAGCTATGAGCAAAAACAAACAAAACAACAACAACAAAAAGCCAGAAGCAGCAAGCGCGTGCACACACACAACTTTAACACACAAAAAATTGTGCAGTCTAACCAATTCATCAACAATACAGCTCTGGTTACCAAACACAGCAAAGACAGAAAACAAATTGCAGATTAACCCAGAGCTTTTAACAGTCTCTTAAAGGATATAAAATGCCTGACGTCAACCCTTCAGAGAAAGGGCAAGTTAAAGGTAGGCAGGCACCAGTAGTTCATGCCTGTAATCATAGTTACTGAGGAGGTTGAGATTAGGAGAATCATAGTTCAAGTCCAACCTGGCAGAAAAGCAGAACACTAAGGTATAAAGAACCTCTCCCTCTCTGGCCTGGCTCTAGTGCTGTTCCAGAAGGGGGCCGGCTGGGATAGACCAGACAGACAGAGGCAACGGGGCTCACAGACTCAGGAAAGACACTATCAGCCACACTCAGCACAGACTTAGTGCCTCTTCTCCCTTACTCCTAATACTAATGCTAGTAAGGGTGATTGCAAAATTATCGAGACCATATGTGGAAAACCTCTGCATGCTAACTCTGAGAAAGCAAGCTTACTAAAGGAACATACTAATCACCTCCAGGTCAACAAAGCCCAAGCTACCATGTGTATCCAAGTGCTGAACAACTAGTTATAAGTCAAGAGGACAGCACTGTGAGGAGGCAGGGCAGGTGAGCTGGTTCAAGCACCCGCAGCAAAACCACAAAGCACCTGAGGTCAGGTTCCCCCAATCCCTCCTTCAGCCAGCAGTGGCCTCAACTGTATGGGAGAATGGACCAGTGTCGCATCAATACATGAACATCCTCTCTCTTTTTTTTGGCCAGTCGTGGGGCCTGAACTCTGGGCCTGAGCGCTGTCCATCACCTCTTTAGCTCAAGGCTAGTGCTCTACCACTTGAGCCAGTGGGCCACTTCTGGCTTTTTCTGCTTATATGGTGGTGAGGAATCAAACCCAGGGCCTCATGCATGCCAGGCAAGCACTCTACTACTGAGCCACCTTCCCAGCCCCATGAACATCCTTCTCTAAGAGGAGAAGAGCTAGATAGGGCTCATCTATATTAGCCACTTCTGAAAGCTGTCCACGCTCACAGGAAGTTATTTAATCAACACCTATGCAGACTAAAATTGAGGATTTTTTTTGTTGCTGTTTTGGCATTTTTGTTTGAAATCACACCACTGTACCTCTATGGAGGTATAGCATGTAAGCCACCCTACCAGCCACTTTTGTGTCTGTTATTTTCAAAACAGACTTTCAATTTCTGGGGCCAGTGTGGACTGTGATCCTCCTATCTGTGCTTCTCTAATCATGTGTGCCATTGCACTCAGGCCCTGTGTTTTACCCTGTAGCTTGAGATGATAGACACACACCGCTATTCCCAGCAAGTGCTTGCTCCAACTTTAATATCCCATTTCTGCTTCCCAGGAGCTAGGATTATGGGCTTGACTCACCATGTACAGCTATGTTTTTGCTTATGCTTTTCCTGGAAGTGGTGCTGTGGCTTTAAGTGGTAGAGTAGTAGCCTTGAGCACAAAGAGGCTCAGGGACAGCACCCAGGCCCTGAGTTCAAGTTCCACAACCAACAAAATAAATAAATAAAATAGATATTGAAAAAATGCTTTTCCAGCCAGGTGCTGGTGGCTCACACCTGTAATCCTAGCTACTCAGAAGACTGAGGCATGAGGATGGTGGTTCAAAACCATCCCACACAGATAAACCAGAGACACATCTCTAATTAACCAGCAAAATACTCAAAGTAGAGATGTGACCTAAGTGGTAGAATGCCAGCTTGAACAAAAAAGCCAAGCAAGAGCATTAGACCTTAAATTCAATCTCTAGTACTGGCACCAAAAAAAACTTTTCCAAAATAAACTTTAAAAATTTAAGCCAGCACTGGTAGCTTACACCAGTAATCCTAGATACTAAGAAGGCTGAGTATGAAGCCAGTCTGGGCAGGAAAGTCTGTGAGACTCTTTTCCTTTTCTTCTGTGATACTCTTATCTCCAATTAACCACCAAAAAGCTGAAAGTGGCTGAGTGCTGGTGGCTCACACCTGTACTCATAGCTACTCAGGAGGTTGAGATCTGAGGACCAGGATAAAAAGCCAGCCGAGGCAGGAAGGCTGAGAGACTCTTATCTCCAATTAACCTGGGGAAAACTGGAAGTAGCGTTGTGGCTCTAGTGGTAGAGCGCCTCCTTGATCTTTGAGCTGAAGGACAGCACCCAGGTCCAGAGTTCAAGCCCCATGACACACACACACACACAAAAAAAGCTGAAAGTGGAGCTATGGCTCAAGTGGTAAAGTGCTATCCTTGAGCAAAAAAGCTGAAGGACAGCATGGAGGCCCTGAGTTCAGCCCCAGGATAAAAAAAGAAGGGAGGATGGGGGAGGGGGAGGGAAGGTGAAAGGAGAGGGAGGGGAAGGGGGCAGGGAGAGAGACAGGGAAGAAGGAAGGGAGGAAAGGGGGAAGGAGGGAAGGAAGGGGGAGGAAGAAAGGGAGAGAAGGAGGGAGAGGGAGGGAAATGGAAGAAGAAAGAAAGGGAAAGGGAAGGAAATGAATGTAAAAGATAAACTAAAAGATCCAACAAAGAAAAAAAATACCACCACACACCAAAAAAAAAAAAAAATATATATATATACATATATGAGTTTCTAAAATCCATGTAAGTCCCCTAAGAGGTTGGACAACACTAAATACAGAAAACCATGAGGAACACGATCTTACCTGAGTGCAAGACCAGGACCTTCCAACAGCACACCATAATCCCGGGAAATTTGTTTGGTTAAATCCGACAAGAGTGCAATGTTCATGTGGCCCAAGCCTCCATTCTAATAAAAATGCAAACACAAAATGGCTGCTGGGCAGTCTTACAGCTGTGGACCATGCAACAATGTTTGAAATCAACAACAATGGCAACATGTAAACAATTAACAGTAACTGCACTTGTAACAGTAAATGTACACCAATAAATCCTTCCTATTAACTAATTTCCTCCCTTAGTCATGCTAGCATAGATTCTATTACCATGACCATTTCATAGATAAGGTACTTATCAAAAAGGTTAAGTTCATTTCTTTAGTTCAGAGCTAGAAAGAGGCAGAGCAAGGATTTAAACCCAGCTGATACTGTTGGTCTTTTCTAATTTTCAAAGCATTCTTTGGGTTAAAGATAGATTTTGGAAATATAAAAATGGAAGAGAAATACTGAATGATTTGATATTGATAGTCTCAGCATAGCCAGAAACACTGACCATGCACAACAGTGAAACCAATTTCAGTGCAATAAACATACATGCAGTGTCACAGGAGACAGAGCTACAAATAGTCCACTTTGGACTGGCCGTGCTTTGACCACTTCTCATTCGCTCTTTATGGGATCTGAGTGTTAAGATGCTGGGGGAAGGGGGACATGTTGGGCAGCAGGTACATAGTTAAAGGTAGATGGAAGGAAGAAGCTTCTGGCTTCCATGGCACAGCAAAGTGATCACAAAGGACCAAAAAGAGATTTGGGGAGGTGGGGAGGGGTGCTGGTCCTGGGACTTAATCTGGGGGGGGGGGAGCGCGCACACTAGAGAGCTGTCCCTGAGCTTTTGTGCTTAAAGGTAGCACTCAACTATTTGAGCCACAGCTCTACTTCTGGCTTTTTATAGCAGTTAGTTGGAGATGAGAGATCCAGACTTTCCTGACTGGGCCAGCTTTGAAATCATGATCCTCAGACCCTCAGCCTAAGTAATCAGGATTATGGGCATGAGCATGAGCCACTGTTGCCCAACTAAAAGCAAGGATTTTGAATATCCATACCACAAAGAAATGGTCAATATTTGAGCTGATACAAATGTCAATTAGGGAAGTGTGGTGTGGCTCAAGTGATAGGGTACTAACCTTGACTAAAAAGAGGCTCCGGGACAATGCCCAAGCTCTGAGTTCAAGCCCCACAACAACAAAAAAGTTTGTTTCTGGGGCTGGGAATGTGGCTTAGTGGTAGAGTGCTTGCCTACCATGCATGAAGCCCTGGGTTTGATTCCTCAGTACCACATAAACAGAAAAAGCCAAAAGTGGTGCTATAGCTCAAGTGGTAGAGTGCTAGCCTTGAGCAAAAAAAGCTCAGGGACAGTGCCCAGACCCTGAGTTCAAGCCCCAGGACTTGCAAAAAGGAAAAAAAGAAGTCTGATTTGATCATCTGACAATGCACGTGCACACATAAAATTATCACATTATCTCATAAACAACAGAATGTTTTTACTGTAGATTATATATTATTGGTCCACTAAAAAGAAAACAAAAAAGCTCATGAGTACACAGCGAGGTGACTGGTGATGTACCTTCCTTGGCGTATTGATCCAGGCAAGATGGCTAAAGTGGGAGTCCACCGAAACGGCAATGACCTCACAGTTCACGTCGTGAAACTCATTGGCTTTGTCACTAAAAGCAACAATTTCTGTAGGACACACAAAGGTGCTTGGGGGGAAAACAGAGCTTCATCAGACAATTTAGAAATAAGAACTTAAAATGTGAATATTAAATATTCTCAACACGAGTTCCATTTGCTCAACACTGAAAACGCAAAACGGACAGGCATCCTCAAGGGAATCCTCAGGGACTCCAGTGTCACATCACACTAGGGAGCCACTACCTTCCATCTCTCTCTCTCTCTTTTCTTTTTGGTGCCAGTAGTGGGGTTTGGACTCAGGGTTCTACAATCTTGCATAGCTTTTTCGCTCAAAGTTGCCACTTTACAATTTGACCCACATCTCTACTTCCAGCTTTCTGCGAGTTAACTGGAGATCAGAGCCTCATGGACTTTTCTGCCTAAGCTGTCTTCAAACCACAATCCTCATGAAATCTCAGCCTCCTGAACAGGCATGAGCCACCAGTTCCTGGCTCCTTTCATACCTTCTTATTGAAGGAATTATACCAAAAAACAAGAAGAGAGCCATTCTAAAGTTGTTTTTTTTAAACTAGTTAGCCTTATTTTAAACAAAACCAAACCACATAGTTTCTTATCCTTCCTTTTCTCATTTCCCCCAAAGTTTCCCAGACTGTCTTAGGGAACCACAGCTGCAAAGTACTAAGACAGGGTCACATTCAACTCCAACATTCTTCCCACTTAATTACAACACTCCTAAGTGAGGAGCAGGTCATCAGTGACAAGGGGTCAGAAAGAACTCCCTCCCTGACCATAAGATAACGTACAAAAGGGCAGTTCTGGTGTGAGGTAGAGAACAGTGCCTGCTTCTAGAATGATATGGAAATATCATAGAAATCACTTACAAATCCAAAGGGTAGAAGAAAAGCACCAAGTATTTCCCCTTAAAGTCATCAAGGCTAAGCTCTTTGAACTCTCCATTGACAACAGCTGTGCCTTTAAAATAAGGTGCATGCTGGGTGACAGCGGGAGCATAAGATGAGGAACCTAGGAAAAAATAAAACCAAATAAAGAAGCCACACCCATAGTAATTCACCATTTGTCAGCAGTACATGATTTTATTTAAACTCTCATAGTAATTAATTAGTAATACAAATTCAGTTCAACTGTCCATCTTCGGTACAGTAATTTTTCCTGCACAAGATTCGAAACTGGGCACCAATTCAACTCAAAGTACTTTGGAAACTAAAAGAAGGGAGACAAAGGCATCAGGAAGGACTTAAGGAAGATGTGAGACTTGGAGATTAATTCTAAACGCGGGTTAGATTTTGTCAAGTAAAGAAAGGACATGATAAGAAGCATGGAGGACTGGCAGGAAGAGACAGGGCAGAAAAGTGCTCCTGGCTCAGTTTGATTACAACGCACGGAATCTCTGACTATGGTGGGAAGAAGAGCAGAAGACAAAGTAGGCGAGAACGGGTTGCAGGGCCAGGCAAGGCAGGTCCTCCAGTGTCAGGCAGCAGAGTCTATACTTCACACAAGGGATAAGGGAGTCAGGCAGGAGTGGATTTATGGCTGTTTGGGGGAAGATTAGTTAGGAAGGAGCATAAGACTGATGTTAAGTGGTGATTTCAGTTATCTCAGTGAATGGTCCTTTGGTGTGGCAGGGAACAGAAAGAAAAGAATAGACACAGAGATGTATCAAGACTGGAAAGGAGGGCTGAGGTGTAATACAGTGGTAGAGCATTTTGCCTAGCAAGTGTGAATGCCTGATTCCGCCCCAGCACCAATTTCCCACTCCCACCAAAACCAACCAATCAAACAAGCACCTGGAGAAGACTTGCTTCTACCTGGAAATGAGGGACAAAAGAGTTCAGTGTCAAACTGTCTAGACCACCCTTTACACACAGCAAGCCCAGTAGGAATCTGAGAAATACCACCCCTTCCACCCCCACACCCATTCCCTTCAACCCAGTTTAAAAGCTCTGGTAACCAGTAAGGAAATGAGACAAGTATAATGCAGCTGAGTGATTCTCAATCCTGGCTGCACATTACAATTATCCAGTGAACTTCTAGATCCCTGGTTCAGCCCAGACACTGCATTAATGTGTTTGGGATGGGACATACTGTTTCTATTTTACCCAGTTATCTTTTCATTATTAAGTTGTTGTAATTCTTTAGACATCTTAGATAAAAACACTTCTTTACCTAAGAATTATATTCTTTAAGCTATGGCTTAGCTTTTTTTTTTTTTTCTGATGGGTAGATCCTAACATTTTGATGCTGTCAATGAAGCACTGCAGATAATTCCCTATAGAGCTGCTCTTTAGGTACATCTTCATGCTAGTTTTTAAAAGTTCCAAGGAAAGTCAGGGTTCAGAAGTGCTGTCCTGTCCAAAGACAATGATTCATATTTCCTTTACATGGGAAGCATGTAACACTTACTAGTGCTAAAGGCGAATTTTGCTTGAGTAGAGCCAGACCACAGTTTGTTTGTCAAGCACGTTCTTCTAGAAGCAACATGCCTAAGGGCTGCAGAGGTAGAAATACCCTGAGGGATAGTGCTTGCATGCCGGGCAACCTGTAAAGAGACGTTTTATATTAGAAAGACTTTCAAGAGCCGGGCGCTGGAGGTTCACAAATGTAATCCTAGCTACTCAGGAGGCTTAGATCTAAGGTTCACAGTTCAGAGCTAGCAGGGGCAGGAAAGTCCATTAGATTTTTTTTTTTTTTTTGGGCCCGGTCATGGGGCCTGAACTCTGGGCCTGGGTGCTGTCCCTCAGCTCTTCAGCTCAAGGCTAGCGCTCTACCACTTGAGCCACAGCACCACTTCCGGCTTTTTTCTTTTTGCTTATGTGGTGCTGAGGAATTGAACCCAGGGCCTCAGGCATGCAAGGCAAGCGCTCTACCACTGAGCCACCTTCCCAGCCCCATTAGATTCTTATCTCCAATTAACCACCACAAAACTGGAAGTGGTGCTTCAGCTCAAGTGGTAGAGCGATAGCCTTGAGCTAAAGAGCTCAGGGACAGCACCCAGGCCTAGAGTTCAAGCCCCACAACCAACAAAAAAAAAAAAAAAAAGAAAGAAAGAAAAGAAACTCTCATGAAGGGCGACTGAATCTGGCCCAGCTGAAAGGGCATCATGCCAATGATGGCCTCGGCTGTCCTAGGCTTTGTAAACCAAATTACAACCACCACCCCCAAACTCTGCGAAGGACTGGATCTCCCGGTTCTTATCATCCCCCTCGGCTTCCTTCTTCAAGACTGTGAGGAGGGAACTGTAATGACAACAAGACTCAGTCTTGGCTCTAAAAAACAACAGAGGGCTGTCCCTGAGTACAAGCCATTTCCCCGCACCAAGTATTGCCATGTTCCACCAATCAAGGTTTCCTCAGAAACCAGCAAACAAGTAGAGCAAAGTTCATGCTCAGGGAGGCCTTGGAGAGGTTTCAAGGGAAGTGTTTGCTCAACTTGAACGTCGGGCGTGACGCAGGAAGGAGGAAGGGCCTGCCTTGAACCCCATGATGAGAAAGGGCAGGGAGGGCAGCAAGAGGTCACTAGGTTGCGCCTACAGAAAAGCGGGCGGCGATAGCGGAGGGGGGAGAAAGCGGCTTTTGTTACAGTAGCACTGGTAGCACTCAGCATTTAAGAGTGTGCCCAGAGCAGCTCCTAGAAGCAGGCGCAGCTCTTTCCTATTTAGGATTCAAGTAAATTGAAGCTCAGAAAGGCGACGTCACTTGGCAAGGTCAAAGTTAGTGACCGAGGCGGGGTCAGGACGCCTGATTCCAGCGCCAGGACCGGGTGCTTTGGTGGAAATGGGGTACGGGGCCGGGGGCAGCGACTCCGCGCGGAGGGACGCGGGCGGGGGGGGGGGGGGGGGGGGGGGGGGGCGGGGGAGTTCTTGCGCAAGCGCACTGGGCGTCCGTGGAGGAGGCCTCCGGGTCCGTTACCCGCCCATACCCTCCAAGAAGGGCGAACAGCCCGCAGGCCGGAGCGCGAGCCTGTCCGGGAAGCAGTGCCCATGGCCATCGCAGTGTTTCTGCGCTTGTGCCCAGCCGACAGCCACTCACCGAGGCCCGGAACAACCTCCCGGCAGCAGCCGCCATCTTCAAGTGCACGCGGGAACGGCGGGTCGGGGCGGAGACGCTAGAAGCGAGTCCCGGAGGGGGCGGGACCTCGGCGGGTGGGTGTGGCCTGCACGGGGCGGGGCCAGCAGCTCCTTCTTCCGGCCTTTGGAGGACCGGGAGGGGAAAATTACCTTTACACTTCCTGAGCAGCAAAACACCTGTCCTGTTTGTCGCCCCGACCTAAATAGCTAACTGAATGCTAGGTATTTGCTTGTTTCCTACTGCTTTAGTGTTTTGGTAACTTTGTGTGGAATATAGTTTCTGCTGTGGATAAACCCACTTCCTATTTCCGCCTGAGGCAGTCTTCTGGCTTCTACATGAAATTGAACTAATTATTAATTCAGTTTTAGTTCGTTAATAAGCTAAGTGGCTCAGATACATCAAAGCTTTGTGGTTCTGAAAACATTAGGGATTGTGTGTGGGCTTCCACTTTGGCCTCTCCTCAACATTGGGAAAATTAGAAAAAATTTAAATGTGTTTTAATTTTTTTTTTATCAATTAATGAAACCAAGAACTTAGTGGTGAGCACAGAAGTTAGAAGCAGCACATCAAAGATAAAACTTACATGGTGGTCCTACAGTATATGTGAGAAATTTCCATCTCTAACTTGTTTTATGGGGTTTTTGTTGTTGTTAATGTTTTTATCAGTCAAGGGGCTTAAACTCTGGGCCTGGGTGCTGTCCCTGAGCTCTTTAGCTCAAGGTGAGCACTCTACCACTTGAGCCACAGCACCACTTCTGGTTTTCTGGTGGTTAATTGAAGATAAGAGTCACAGACTTTCCTGCCCAGGCTGGCTTTGAACCATGATCCTCAGATCTCAGCTTCCTGAGTAGCTAGGAATACAGGTGTGAGCCACTGGCATGTTTTATGTTTTTATTCACTTGGTTTGGTTATACTGGGACTTGAACTCAGTGTGCTTCATACAACCACTTGAGCCATGCTTACACATCTTTTTCCAGTGAACTTTTCTGCTTGGGCTGACCTCAAATTGCAATCATCCAGATACCAACTTCCTGAGTAGCTAGGATTACAGGTGGGGCCACTGGCACCAAACTGTAGTATTATAACATTAATTTAGAAAGACAAAAACTAGCTTATGCACCTGTGGCCCACATTTCTAATCCTAGATACTCAAGAGGCTGAGGATCAAGGTTCAAATCCAGCCCCAGCAGAAAAATCCTTTCTCATCATGGGGTTCAAGACACTTATTTCCAATTAACCACTCAAAAAACCAGAAGTGGTTCAGTGGCTCAAAGTGGTAGAGCACTAGCCTTAAGTAAAAGAGCTCAAGGGCAATGCCCAGGCCCTGAGTTCAAACCCCATGACCAACAACAGAAGGGGATCAGAATGTTGGGGCTCAAAATTGTGAAGGTAAGATACAAGGGTACTGGTAGGATACAATGTGGATGAATGAGAACATTATTCTAAGTGAAAGAAGCCAGACAATTTCCTTTTTAAAAAAATATGAAATATCTAGAATAAGTAAGTCATAGAGACCGAAAGCAAGAGGTGCTTGGGGGAAGGAGGTATGTGATCAAAATAGTTCAAAACTAGATAAAGATAGTAATTGTACAACATTACGAATTTGCTAAATGCTGAGTTGTACTTTTTTTTTTTTTTTTTTTTGGGTCCGGTCATGGGGCCTGAACTCTGGGCCTGGGCGCTGTCCCTCAGCTCTTCAGCTCAAGAAGAGCGCTCTACCACTTGAGCCACAGCGCCACTTCCGGCTTTTTTCTTTTTGCTTATGTGGTGCTGAGGAATCAAACCCAGGGCCTCAGGCATGCAAGGCAAGCGCTTTAACCACTGAGCCACCTTCCCAGCTGAGTTGTACTTTTTAAAGTAGCTAATTTTGTTATATGAATTTCACCCATCTCAATTTAGAAAAAAAAAAAAAAAGAAACAGACTTACAACAATAAAATTGTATACTGCGATCCGGACGACTAATTCAATGATAAGAAAATGGAGACTGTGGGCTGGGAAGGTGGCTCAGTGGTAGAGCGCTTGCCTTGCATGCGTGAGGCCCTGGATTCGATTCTTCAGCACCAAATAAGCAGAAAAAGCTGGAAGTGGCGCTGTGGCTCAAGTGGTAGAGCACTAGCCTTTGAGCTGAAGAGCTGAGGGACAGCACCCAGGCCTGTTAGGTTTTTAAAAAGAGGTAGCCGAGTAAAAACTGCACTTGCACGCACGTGGTATTCAGGTAAGGGGTAGGTTTATTCAGTAGACCTGCTGGGACCAGGCAAGGTTGGCACTCCACGTGGCTGGGAAAGGCCTGGGAAGGAGAGAGAGCTGGGAAAGAGAGGAAAGAGCTAGAAAAGAGCAGAGAGAGGGGTAAGAACAGTAGCACTCACGTGGTATTCAGGTATTCAGAAGACCTGCTGGGAGCAGGCAAGGTTGGCACTCCACGTGGCTGGGAAAGAGAGAGCTAGAAAAGAAGAGCAAGAGCAAGAGAGCTAGAAGAGCAAGAGCTAGAAAAGAAGAGAGAGAGAAAAAGAGAGTGTCTGGGCCTGGGCTAGGCCTTATGTAGGGTATGGGCGGGGAAAGGTGTGGCCACATCAAATTCAGATGTGACCTCAGCGGATGCAGATGTGACCTCTTCCAGGTGTCTCAGTTGCCTAGGTAACGCAGGTACTGGGTGGAGACTTTGCTGCGAGGAGGGTGGAGTCTGCTAGCCATCCAGGAACAGACCTTACATTCCAGCCTTTTAATAATCATGAAATAGGGCGCGGATTCTCTCTGGCTACTTCCTGCTAAGGGGCGTCGACAATAGGGGTGAAAGGCTGGAATTTGGTCCCCTCCCAGAGAAGGCAGTGAGCAGCAGCTGTCCCTTGGTGGCATGAGTCCTTAGGTGAAGTATGGAGAAGTCTCATGAGCATTGAGGGGCTGGAAAAAAATACTAGAGAGCAAATAAATGGCAAGAGGAAGGACTTGAGCTGAAAATGTTGTTAGAAACGTCCCTAGCTACTTCTGGCATCAGGCGACTAGGTGGAGAAGTCAGGTGACAAAGGCAAGAATCTAAATTCCTGTCCAGTTAATAGGTAGACAGGTATGGACACTAGATGGGCAGGTTTCTTACTTCTACTGACCTCCCGGCTCAGGTTAATTTTGAAAGGGCAGGCACAAAGTAGCTGATGTGACATTATCTCCTCTTACTCTTCTCCATGTTCCCTTGTTCCCCAGACTGGCTGAGTCTAGGTGCTCATTGCTGGGATGGCTTGTCCCAGTTGGTATTCAAGATTTGAACTCAAGGCCTGGGCACTGTCCCAGAGCACTTCTGCTCAAGGCTAGCACTGAAACACTTTGAGTTATAGTACCACTAGTATTTAAGGAGGTTTGAACTCAAGGCCTGGGCACTGTCCCTGAGCACTTCTGCTCAAGGCTAGTGCTCTACCACATTGAGTTACAATAGCACTTCCAGTATTTGGCTGGTTAGAGATAAGAGTCTTGAGCCATGCTTCCAGCCTGGCTCTTTGCAGGTTTGTTGGGAGATGGAGTCTTAGGGATTTTTTAGCCCGAGCTGGCTTTGAACTGAAATCTTTGCCTCAAAAGCCCTTTATTATTTCCAATTAAAACAACAAGGAGATCAAGTAGAATAAGTAGAGCTTACCTGGTCCTTAACAAGAATTGCCAACAAATATTCTGAAATGACAAAACTCATTAGATGTGATGATAATTTTAGCACAGATATGCCCAGTATTTTAGAACCACGTAGTCAGTAGTAGAATACACAACACAAAACACAAAAGGCAAAACTTAAAACCTAAAATTTCGACAACGTTTAGACATCTTTGCTAACAAAGCATATCAGATGGTTGGGCCTCCGTTACCAGGGCCTGTGAAAAGAGCAACTTGTTAGCAAGGCACCTTAGAATAGATGGAGTAGTAAACTTAGTGGAAGGTTAAGGGTCAGATGGGGCCAAACCCTTAACCCACCACGAGGCCAAGATGGCGAATTCAAGATGGCGAATTTCTGAAAGAATGAAAAGAAAGCCTGAACAAATAGACCAAGTCTACATTGGCTAGCCTTTGAGAGGGAACCTAGAGGGGCGTACCTGGGACCCAGCCTGCGTCGCACTCTTCAAGGCACAAGCCAAAAAGTTGTAGAAAAAAAAAGGGTAGAAACTTGCCCATGAATGGTAGTGAGCAAAGAGAGCCCGAAAGTAAACAGACTTCTGATCATTTACCATTGCAGTAGCAAAAACTGTACTTCTGAGAATGGCATAAAAATGAGGCTCTCTGGCTTTCCAGGGAGCGCAGGAGACATTTCAACGGGGTTTCACGGCTCAGGCGTGATTCGTAGCACCCCATTAAATGAGTAGAGTCAGTCTGGTGAGTGAAGGAGAGCTGACCAGGCAGAAGCGGCGTCCCGACTTCCCCCAGAGCCCTCTAGAGAGAGCAACAGAGAACCGTAGAGAGTAGCTTCACTCACCAGAGTAGAGAAGTGGTGTGGACGTGGATGTGAAGGCAGCAATGGTATAGATGTGCTGATTCCGCCGCAGACAGACTGGTTCGCAAAAGGCCGTCAGAACTGTGGGTATTCCTCAGAGCAAAAAGGTAAGAACAAAAAAAGAAAAAAGAGGAAAAAAACAGAGAAATCCCAGCTTTCCTGACTTTCAGCCTTTATCCGAGTAACGGCACCATTTATGTTAGGTTTTTAAAAAGAGGTTGCTGAGTAAGAACTGCAGCACTCACGTGGTATTCAGGTATTCAGAAGACCTGCTGGGAGCAGGCAAGGTTGGCACTCCACGTGGCTGGGAAAGAGAGAGGAAAGAGCTAGAGCAGAGAGAGAGCAGAGAGAGAGCTAGAAGAGAAGAGCAAGAGCAAGAGAGCTAGAAGAGAAGAGCAAGAGCAAGAGAGCTAGAAGAGCAAGAGCTAGAAAAGAAGAGAGAGGGGCTGGGAAGTTGGCTCAGTGGTAGAGCGCTTGCCTTGCATGCCTGAGGCCCTGGGTTCGATTCTCAGCACCACATAAGCAAAAAGCCAGAAGTGGCGCTGTGGCTCAAGTGGTAGAGCGCTAGCCTTGAGCTGAAGAGCTGAGGGACAGTGC